ATACCACTGAGGTGGCAAACAAGCATACGGCCTACCTAATAATTACATACTTGATGTATAACGTGAACTATCTGTGTGAATACATATGTTTGTATGCCGTACAGGCTAAACATGTCGAACGTTATTATATTGTCAGCATCTGCATGTATTTATACGCATGTTTTACAAATAAAACGCGGTTTCCATAGCCTATGAACGCCTGCAATACCAGGGGTATTACGCGCACGTTGCCGACCCTGAAGAAACCTCTTTACCCCCTCCGCCCTTCCTTTTGAAGAACCCCATGCTGTCAATTAAAAAAATAATTATCTTCGAATCACAAATTGATTATCTTTACCAATCTTTATTTAAAAAAAATATATAACGCTGAATAAAACAAATTTGATAAACAAATATGAACGTTCAATATTTGATCTGTGGATATGTCGATAAAGTTATGCATGATCCGAGTACGTCATCGATCATCGTCTAAAATAAGATTTATTACCGTCGTGTGATCTCTAAATCATCATATATTTGCATGATTCCAACCTCCATACATGTATATGTACCATATTTTATAATTTGAACAGTAAAAGTTTCGGTTTCATTTACAAAAGTGTTCAAATGTGTAATACTAAGTAATACACCAGAGGGAGACTTTGTACAAAAGTCGTTTGCTTGGGTAACTCTGTCCCATTCGTGTTTCCACCGTGAAGCAGTTGTGTTTGCATGGCTGTGTTTCGGTTTGAAGGGTGGGATATGGCATGAATTTACAGGGTACAGAAGAATAACATCTGAGGACTTACCTCAGGAATGGCAACGCATGGGGGTGTCATGGACGAAACAGTACACTCTGTTGTGTCCATGATACTGCTCGTGTGTATAGGCGACGATTACCGCTTTCCATCAGGTGGGCCGTCAGCTTGTTTGCCACTCTAAGTTGCATAAAAAAAATACAAATTCAACTTATTTAATCATACTGAAAGATTAGTTAGTTAGAATTATACTAGTAGTTAGAATTATACTGAAAGATGCATAAATAACACTATTTAGTTAAGTTAAACTCATTTAGTTATTAAAAAATGCAAGTATATTTTAAGTTACTACATAATAATCTGTACTAATATTATATATGGGTAAACTCAAAAACTACTCGAATGATTTTAAAAATTCTTTCACCTATAAAAAGCTAAAGTATCAACTAGTAACATAGGCTTTATACTTTTTTCAAAAGTTATACGAGTTATACGTATCTACCCGTGCGAAGCCGGATCGGATCGCTAGTCATATCATGTGGTTACTAGAAATAATGAATATTTTTAATATTACACGTTATTTAACCCCAAATTAAGATAGATAAAATGAACTTTCTAAATTTTTTCTTTTTCGCTTTTTTCTATAGATACATAAGTACTTGTATAATGAAGTCAAATTATTTATTTTAATTAATTCATTCAGCCGTTAACTACACTGCTGAACATAAGTCTCCCCATAAGAGGGTTTTTGCCAGTAGTTGCCACACTTGGTAAGCGGGTTGGCAAGTTAAGATTGGGTGATTTTTAAGGTCTGCTGCCACTGCCTGCTGTCCCTCGACTATTACATTTCATTAGTCACCTCTTATGACCCCCACGGGAAAGGAAGGGGTGACCCATTCTATGATAGAACCACACTGCAATTTCAAATTCTTCGTTTTTTTTTTTTGTTGGGTGAAAATGGTATGGTAACACCGCCTGCGCTAACAGGATACGCTGGCGGAGCACCAGTGAAGAGCGATAGATGAGAATGAAAACAGGCCAGTTAGCCCATCATGATTAATTCATCAGGAATTAACCATGATAGTTTCCAGGGGGAACCGGGAGGAAGTCGACCTGGTTGGGTAAATTGTTAGCAATGGGATTCTTAGTTAGATTACTAACAATCCCTTTCCCCCCAAATTCTTCGTTTACATTTTCTATATTACAACAGACGGTAGAAAACAACTTGAAACGAGAGAAAAATCATCGTAGAAAGAAAGGCCGGCGACGGTCAGTTAAACAATATCGAGGAAAGTTGCAAAACATTACGCAAGCAACCACTCGTTTTATTGCCACTCTCCTATTTGATCGCATCGTGTAAAGCACAGAAAAAAATATGTAGGAAACACCTCGTTTGCAATATGAAAATAAATAGAATGATGTAGTATCGTAAAATATACCGGAAAAATCTGAAACTGCTGCAGGTGACGTGTGCGATTTATTCGAGAGAGCGATAGAATTACAACACTCCGGCATTTCTGTTAATATATTAATACGTAAAGCGAAAACTTCGTAGCCCTTTTTACGAAAATTGTACGGACGGAGGAGTATGAAATTTGGCACGCTCATAGTTTATACAGAGAAGGAGTGCAGAATGCTAATTTTTTTTCCAAATTATGCATAAAAAATACATTAAATCGATAAAAAAAAAATACACACACATCCATTTATTTGATACCCACACACGCATATAAGTTATATACGTACTCTTTTGTTTATTGTTAAAGTCTGTGGTCAAATTGAGAATGGATTAATTTTGTTTGTCTTTAACTAAGTACAGGGGGGGAAGGGATTGTTAGTAATGGAGACTGAGAATCCCATTGCTAGCAATATACCCAACCAGGTCGACCTCCTCGCGGTCCCCCCTGGAAACTATCATGGTTAATTCCTGATGAATTCATCATAATAGCCTAACTGGCCTGTTTTCATTCTCATCGATCACCCTTCACTGGTGCACCGCCAGCGTATACCGTTAGCGCAGGCGGGGTTACCATAACCATTTTCATCCATCAAAAAAAAAACTAAGTACAAGGAAATACATATTGTAATTCCTTGTTGTGAATGTCAAACATAACCATAATAAATTCATTTTTTACAATATATGTTATTGTTGAATTTTAACCACGAGACGACCACTAGTAATAAGAAATATATGTTTATTGATAACTTTATGTATTGATTTACGCGGGCGAAGCCAAGGGATACAACTAGTGACAAATACATTTTGCTCCGCAAAAAATACCCACTGTGATCCTTACAAAATGACAATATTAAATTACTTTGTTATGACTTCAATTGTCAAAGTGATCTAGTTAAAGATTGTACAGAAAATATCATCAACTAGTTTTTTTTTATACAACTTAGAATGGCAAACAAGCTGACGGCCCACCTGATGGAAAGTGGTAACCATCGCCTATAGACATGAGCAGTACCATGAACATAACAGTATACTGTTTCGCCCATCATACCCCCCATGCGGTGCCATTCCTGAGGACTCAGGTGTTATTCCTCTGTACCCAGTAAATTCACGCCATATCCCACCCTTCAAACCGAAACACAGCCATGCAGACACAACTGCCGAGTAATCGACTTTCGTACAAAGTCTCCCTCTGGAAACTAGTTAATTTCAAACTTCTCCATTGTTCACATATAATTTAAATACATTATCGGGACTTTATGATTAAAAAAAAAGAAAAGAAAAAAAAAGGTTAAATTCCTCTTATCGATATTAACTTAAAAATAGAAAATATAGCGCATAACATAACCACAATAAAATACCCTTTTAAAAATCACTTAAGAAATAAATTTTGTAATTTCATCACAGTTGTTTCATAGAACACGTTAATATATTGATATTTTATGTATATATAAACACAGTATCGCTCGTTTACTATAACCTATCAACAGCCTATAATATAATATTGAAACCAAAAAAAATGGATCGCATATAAACGACCCAATTCCGACCGCATGAACCGCAGGGTTGCGAAGTACCCGACTGATTTAGTTCACTGCGAACGAGAGCATTGTGTTTATATTGAATTATTGAGTTCCAGTTTCTTGTTGCGTTAAGAATGTGATGTAAAAATAGACGATCGTCCGAAGGGCGGCCTCTGCCGTTTTGAAGCAAGGTCTTTTTCACTACGATAGTTTTTCTGTGTATAAATAGATCTGTATTATGTGACGAACGCTTTCTTCAGTTGCTCGTAATACGATTGGCCTAAATTTATTTATTTTTTGGAAAACGTACAGCTGAATTACAGTCAATACATAGTCAAATTTATATCTATGTTAAGCCATGAACCGTTCTCACATTTGCGTAATGATAAAATAGCAATAGTATTTGTTAAAATGTACCCGTACTTAATACTCCAGAGGGAGACTTTGTACAAAAATGGTTTGCTTGGATGCCTCTGTCCCATTCGTATTTTAACCGTAAAGCAGTTGTGTTTGCATGGCTGTGTTTCGATTTGTAGAGTCCCAGTCTTGAAATAAACGGTTCTTTAAATCTTTTTATATATCCTGTGTACGATCTATGGTGCTGATGATGTCTATAATATAGTATCTCCCATAGTATCATTTAGGGTTGTTGCAACTTGCCAGACTTACAACTATTTTTTAGTGCAACAAAAATACACCAATTGCCCGGTCCTCATGTTAGGATACCCTGTGATTATTATTAAATTATTAATTCACTCTTGCGCCACGTGCCCCTTTCTATCTGTTCTCCTTTAACTAAAGGTTGTCTGTAAGAGATTGCCCTAGCGATAAGACCGCCTTTTGTACCTTTGTGTGTATTTCAATCTGTATTTATGTTACTGTATTTCACTTGAATTATTCACTTGTCATTGTATATTTTTATTTAGGGTGCAATAAAGAGTTAAATAAATAAATACCCTGTGATATCAGGAACCAATCAACGATCATACTGTAAGTGAATATACAAAAGCATATAAAAAAATAAATATATAAATCATTTGGGGACAGAACTCAGCACACCCAGACCTCCAATCCAAGCCTATCCAGAAAAATTCGTTTACTAAATTTACTCGACCAAGAATCGAATCCAAGATCTAAATAAGCAATATGGCTACCTACCGCTGAGTGCCTGAGGTCGCTTTACTTTGCTCGTAACTTCAGTCTCTTAAAACCTCTTTCTATAAAATCCCATGCTATGGTTTAAACTTTCTATGTAAACGTAACATTGTGGTCTGTTTTGTGCAGGAAACAGTCCGCAGCAGCGGTGGCAAGGTGACCAGTGAACGCAGCGTACAGGAGTTCGACATAGAACAGTGCTGGGACGAGCGCGTGCTCAGGAAACTTGTAAGTCACTTTCAAACTGTTTTATACATTTTAAACATTTAGAAACACCATGTATATTTAGCACTTATGTATATTTTTTAATAGATGAACATGGAATGGTAACTCAAATTCGCGTGCCAGTGAGAGATGATTAATAAAAATGAGGTCGAGTCGGTTGTTCATATCGGCCTTTAACTGTCCACTGCTTAACATAGGCCTTCCCTTTGAGGAGTTTTGCCAGTAGTTGCCACGCTTGGCAGGCCAATTGGCAACCGCAGTTAGGCTTTAGAGATGTTTTAAGAGGAACGCTGCTGCCCATTCTGGCCTTCCCTTAGTCGCCTCTTACGACGCCTACGGGATAGAAGTGGTGGTTTAATCTATGCCGGGACCATACGGAGCGGTAATTAATTCACTGGGAATTAACCCTTTTAGTGCCATTGATTTTTACTCATATGTACTTAAAATGCCAAAGAAATCTTTGTCGTGTTGATGTCATTTACGCTTGTCTCTAAAAACTGTATCTCCTCCAAAAATTATCCAATTTTAATATTGTTTTCACATCAAGCTAAACAGCGAATGATTTCACGAGCGCTATGACGCTCGTGGCACTTTTAGTTGCAATGCGCACGAGCGCGATGGCGCTCGTCGGCACTTAAACACGGTGGTTTCAAAATACCGAGAGGATATCTACCTCTTTTTGAATACTGAATATTTACCTAAATTAAACCAATACTCCCTAGTATTGGTTTTAATTTAGGTAAGCTGATAGAGTATATTAATAAATTTACACATGGTATAGGTGTATTAATTTTTTTGATACTACTAAGTGACAAACAAGCATATAGCCCGTCTGTTAGTAAACGGTCCGCCGTCTGTATTCTGTACCGACCATGTATAAGTTATGCAAGTTATACACAAAGAAACACTATGTAATACATAATTATAAACCCGATCCACGCAGAAAGTGAATTTCCGGCTCGACAGCAGGCTAGACATTAATCTGTGGCGTATTAACCGCTAATTATTCGCCATTATGTCGCACACTTAACTATTATCAATGAAAGCTCATACAAAACAGCACTCCGTTGGCAATCAAGCGGCTTGAATCAAGCGCATATGTTACAAAATTGCTTGAGCGGATAATTTTAACTTTATACAAATTCTGGATTCAGAACTCCAGAACTATACACGGCAATATCGATCGTACCAAAGACTATGTTTCAGTCAGTTATGAATGAAGAAACTTAACATTTCCCACTGAACATACTTAATCGGAATAATTATGTTACACAAAAATAACTAAATACTTCGCATTGTTATAAATTTTAATACGAGAATAACAACTGAGTAAACTCTATTAATTGCAAAAATAATTTATTAAATTGGTTCACAATTAGCAGAGATATAATGTACAACTTACACATAAAACAATAAAAGATTCAATTATCAAATTTAGATTATACTAACTGAGGAAAGATGATCAGTTAGATTTTTTTTTTTTGGTTCTCATTATCCCAAAGGGAAAGGCAAAGGGCTCTGTTCATACAGCTCATGTCTAACGTAATGATTGTTTCGAATTATTAAATTTTCTTGGGATTAAATATCTTGAGTAGTTGAAATTATATATCCATAAAGAACAGAACAGGTCCTTGAAACTGTCGCTGGATTTTGGTTTGACAGACAGGCTTTATTTTTTTATTTATATAATATATTATTATCCACTTTTCATGTCAAGCAAGAGCATAATTTTATGTCAAGCACATATTGTCAAGCACATAAGCTTTGCTCTTTTTAGGGCGAAGCAATAAACTGAGTTGTGGCCATTTTGTATTGCTATAGCACACTCACAAACGAAAATTGTATTTAGCTTTGTGTATTTTTTTTTTTATCATTTATGTTATCTCGCTTTTTTTTTGTATATACATGTTGTAATTTATGTGCTGTAAGTAATGCAAATAAATTATCTATCTATCTATCTATTAGGTAGGGCTACTTTCAAGCATCAAACATTGTAGACAATTATGTCCGCTTGACTCAAGCCAAAATCTACGAGCTGGTTTCAAAGACCACTTGACCGTTCGCGGATGCCATAATAAGCTCTCACTTTCGTTGCCATTCGTCGCCGGACGGTGGACGACAGTGACGGTGAAACTGGTCGAAATTGGCCGACTCATGCGCGGAGATCATCGACCATTGCGCAAGATTGCGACAAGTGGCATGATCGCAAACTATTATTAGAAAAATTGCGTGTAAACAAAACCGGTCTACTTAAATTCTTGTAATTTGGACAACTGGCTTTTTTAATGCCGACTTTTTATTTACCACTCTTTGTGTATATATCTATCTTCCGGAACATGATTTGTAATTTTTATGCTATTTCATATTTTTAAGCAAAAAGGAAAGAGACTTTTGTATTTTTTGTGTACATTACGCGATATTTTTGTAGCTTTGTAACCGATTTCTTTTTTGCATTCATAAAATCGAATCCAGTGTTTTTTTTTTAATGAATGATAATGAAATGGAGACCCCGCCCGCGCCATCGGTATACACCGACGGGGCACCAGTGAAAAATGATAGGTGAGAATGAAATCAGGACAGTTAGCTCATCGTGACGAATGCAAGAAGTATTTATCACAATGGTTTCCAGGGGGAACCGCGTGGAGGTCGACGCGACAGGGCTTGCTAGAAATAGGGGCAATAGTCCATATTACTAACAATCCCTTTCCCCCCCGAATCTAGTGTTTGGATCAACAATAACCTTTAAATAAGCATCAGTAATATGGATACCTATTAGGCCGTAAATAATTGTAAACTGTGAAGTTAGCGTTGAACTACTAACAATCCGTAACTTACTAGCAACGTAACGTTTAGCACTCGGTTTTTTCTGCTTACCCATCAAGGAACCTATCATCATACCAGCCTTTAACTGTCCACTGCTGAACATACGCCTCCCCCTTGAGAGATTTCTCCAATAGTCGTCACTCTTGGCAGGCGGATTGGCAACCTCTGTCAGTCTTTAGAGATGTTTTAAAAGCGACGTCTGGACATTGTCAAACACGGTACACGTCATCAGGCAGTAGTGTTATTTAATAAATTACCTGTCCAGTTAAAAATTATACGAAGTCTCAATTCTTTTAAGATCAAATTACGATCCCTTTTATTGGAGAAATATTACTACTCCGTACATGACTTCTGTACTGTTGATTAATGTAAATAATTAAAAATGAATTTGACATATGTATATAATATTACGATGAAGCTGACACTGTTTATTGCAAACTTTATTTATTATAATTTATTGTTATTATTATAGTTATTGGATGGTTGTAATATTCAAGTTAATGTAATGATTTTTGTATGTTTATCCCTTATTTCAGACACAATGTACATTGTTTTTTTAATAAATGACTAATGACGCTACTGCCCATCTCTCGCCCTCCCTTAGTCAGCTCTTACGACACGCACGGGAAAGGAAGGGGTGGCCTATTCTATACCGAGACTAGGTGGCCACCAAGGAACTTTAAAAAGTAAACATTGTCTCTTAACAGATGTAAATTATTTAAACGTCTGGACTATTTAACTCTTGCATATCTAGACTAAATAGTTTTTTTTAATGTATGATAATAATTATGATTAACCCGCCCGCGCTAACGGCATACGCTGGCGGGGCAACAGTGAGGGACGATAGGTGAGAATGAAAAGGCAGGTCAGTTGGCTCATCATGATGAATACACTTGGAATTCAGCACGATGGTTTCCAGGGGGACCACGTGGAGGTCGACCTGGTTGGGTGTATTGCTAGCAATACTCTTAGTCTCCAGTATTAACAATCGCTCCCCCCCCCCCCCTCCGACCGCTTTATTACATTAGTATAGATGACGTCTCTTACATGTATTACTCACGCTTTCTCTCTTCGCAAAATTTTATGTAAATTGCTGCAATGCTTTGGTTTTAATCGAATTTTATAAAATACCAGTTCCGAAATGAAATTATATTCAAAACATTAAAAAAATCTAAAAATAAATTACATTATTTTTTTAAATTTATCTTTTTTATTTTATTACATTTAAAACTCCCGATCGTGGCAAGCAAGATGTAAAGAATCCATCAACAAATGACTAGATCTGTATTGAAATCGAGTCGTTTAGAAGTGTAACGTGTTATTAGGGCAGCGCCACTTCCGCTTTCCACTCCCGACCGTTTCCGGTGCGTGGACAATGCGAATGTTGGACGGTTCCGAGTGTGAGCCGTGGACCGTGGCGGTGGTGGTGGGCTGCGGGCTGGCCTGCGGGCTGGCCTGCGCGCGCGCACTACCGCGCAACCAACCGCGATTATAACACGCGATCAAATTACATGTGCGACATACAAATAAGTGATATCATTTACCGTTTGTGACCATGCTGAGTGGCCTGCAGTCGCTACGTGTGAGTTGACTTCCACAAACTAGTGTATCGGCTGCATAATTACCTAGTGCAATGTTTGTTTATAAAGTATGTGTCGACACGTTTAAAAAAGAAGAAGGTTTAAAAATGTATTTTTTTTTATGTTTGTAACCTCATATCTCTGACAATTGTAAACTAAATTTGATTTTTTTTTTTTTTTTTTTTTTTTTATTTTAAAGGGCATAGATTAGTCGCATAGAAATGTTATAAAAATATATATTTAGGTACATCTCGTTGGAGGTGTGCATATATAGCAACAGATGAAGAGACTCCTAATATCAGCAAAATGTACAAATTTTTTTTTCTCTCTACTGATGTTCATTTTCCCAAAGAGGGTTGAGGTCAGGCAGGCGACCGGTCGTAAAACTATAAGCTAAATCTTTTATAATATGGATAAAAAACATACCGGTCGTACTATAAGCTAAATGTTTTTATAATATGGATAAAAAACATATTACGCCGACCCCAAATAATAATTGGGACAAAGGTAGGAAGAAGGCGATAATTGTTGTTTATTTTCACCAAAGGGAGACTTTGTACAAAAGTCATTTACTTGGTCTGTCCCATTCGTAGTATACTCTGTTATGTCCATGATACTGCTCAAGTCTATAGGCGACGGTTACCACTTTCCATCAGGTGGGCCGTCAGCTTGTTTGCTATTCTAAGTTGTATAAAAAAAATCACGTTTAATTATTATTTATAATTGCTATTTGTAATAGAGAATCTATCTATTTATCTAACAAAATCTGTTTAGTGGTATATTTGAATTAAAATAACTGGTTTTTGCTATGATTAAAATGAATTTTTATTTGTGAATCACAATCTTACATTATGATACTTACAAGTAGTCAGAAGTCTGTCTCGTTCCATAGTGAGTGTACTCGTATTTGTTTAATTTTTATTAATAATACTATTTACTTAGTAATGGAGGTGAAGTCAACAGCTGTATGTGACTCGTTTATTATTTATGATCAGGGTGCCTACCATGGAATGAAATTTCGAAGTTTCGTACTCAATTTCGTGTTTTTGTTCACATCTAAATGGGCCGGCTGCTCACGTAATCCTGGAATGTGAGGCTGTGGCCCATCAACGTTTATAAATCCTCGGAACGGTGAGGTCGCTCCGTGAGGCCTGTGAAGAACCCAGGAAGCTTCTGCGCTTCTGGGCGGAGCTAGGTTGGTTGCACTAGCCACGACTCATACGCACAATGGCCAAGTGAGAGGCTAAGCGCGGAAAATGGAGTCCTTTTCACACACATTCACCTAAATGGGCCCAGTAAATGGAGCTTAACATTTTGTTCGTCATAAATCCTACCATAAAAGTCTAAAGGAATAATATATTAATATTTTTAATGTTTTCAAACGGCATGTATTATGTAATTTTAACATCAAATTTGTGTTTCGTTCAGCTCTGAAATTTCGGAAAACATTTCATGGTAGGCCCTCAGTTTTCTTTATATAGTGTAAGAGAAAGAGCACTTATAGGTAGATACAACAAAATTAGTAAAACTAAATAGATCTCTTCAAGGAACATACCTATATATTAGAGTTTAAAAATATATTTTTTTATACAACTTAGAATGGCAAACAAAGTAACGGCCCACCTTATGGAAAGTGGTAACCGTCGCCTATAGACATGAGCAGTACCATGGACATAACAGAGTGTACTGTTTTGCCCACAATGCCCTCCATGCGTTGCCATTTTTGAGGACTCGGGTGTTATTCCTCTGTACCGTGTAAATTCACTGCCATATCCCACTCTTCAAACCGAAACACAGCCATGCAAACACAACTGCTTCACGGTAGAAACACGAATGGGACAGAGGTCCAAAAATTATATTAAAGAACAAGTTCACTTTAAGTTGATCGTGTCTAAAAACATAGCTGTCAAATTTACTTTTTTAACTATTATATATACTTTTTTAAATATTATATTTTTCCTTTAATTTTGAACATGAATATCACCTTGATATACTTCACCAATAAAAAAATCATGCAAAGGAGGGTTAATTATATTTTTAATGACACAAAAGCGGCAAAGAAGTATATACAGCCTGTTTAATGGTAAACGATCACTATAGCCTATGGGCGCCTGTAACACTAGGAGCGTCACGTGCGCGCTGCCGATCCTAAAGAAACCTTAAGAACACCATACTGTAGTCTCTAGGGAAAACTTCAGCAGCAGCAAGCTCATTCCACGGTCTGAGTGGTCGTTTAAGAAAATTTCTCTGAAGCCGCACTGTACGCGAACATTTAGGTTTAAGCGTCATAACTAAATAGTTACATTAAGGCTGCCAATTTGTCACTTTAAATTTATAGCCGTCATTCTTTTAATGTATATAATATCGAATGTCATGCAGAGCAGTTGTTGGAGTGCAAATTTAATGCCGTTTTATATAATATTTATTTTATAAATGTATTAATTTGTAATCTGTTGCCTTGCTATAAATAAATAAATATATAAATGTCACAGCTTAAATTCTCACCAAATATTTTACTCCACATCTACGTAATGACTGGAACGATTGATATTTTGTAAATACCACAAATTTACCATAACATAATTACCGTGGTAATCAAGATTACCTACCTACTTAATGGTACGCAACCATCGGAACCGACTGCCTACTTAATAACGCGCTTTAGAGAGCACTGTTCTTTACAATTTTTACATATGTAATGTAAAATTTACTAATAAATTACCATAGTATGCATGGGTAATATCTGTACCGCAGGGGGGGAAAGGGATTATTAGTATTGCGGACTACCAGTCCCATTGCTAGCAATATACCCTGTCGGGTCGACCTGGTCCCCTCTGGAAACCATCGTGCTGAAACCCAGGTGTATTCATCACGATGAGCTAATTGACCTGCCGTTTCATTCTCATCTGTCATACCTCACTGGTGCCCCACCAGTGTATACCTATAGCGCAGGCGGGTTTACCATTCCAGTATATATATATATATATATATATGTATATATGTATATATATATATATATATATATATATATATATATATATATATTGCTTTTAGCATTAAGTTCGCCATGTACACATATTTGTACTAATGAATAAAATATTACCCACCCGAGGTTTTCCCAAGAGACTACAGCATGGAGTTCTTCAAAAGGGGGGTAAAAAGGTTTCTTCAGGATCGGCAACGCACGCGTAATACCTCTGGTATTGCAGGTATTCATAGGCTACGGTAACCACTTACCATCAGGTGGGCCGTATGCTTGTTTGCCACCTCAGTGGTATAAAAAAAAACCTTTAACCCACAATTTCTGGTGTATAAAATACACCGGTTTACTATCCTAATATTCATCATCAGTAAATGATTTGTGTGTTTGTCAGTTGGACGAGTGCAGTGACTACGAGCAGCGTCGGCGATTGCGAGCACGTCTGCGCACACTCATGGCTGAGCAAGAAGGTATTTGGCGCATACCAATAATAGTTACAAATTTATTAGATTAAATCGGCCGCAAACAATATCTACTATTATGGTCTTTATATACTATTATAGTATTTAATTTGTTTAATTTTATGATTATGAATCGTAATTCCATTTTTGTAATAAAATAAATAAACAAAAACAAAAGCTATATTCTAAAATTTTGTATATTTCCATAGCATGCGCGAGCGCCGTAACGGAAGCGCTGGCGGCGGCCGGCGAGGGGGGCGACAACGCGGAGGGCAACGAAAACGAGGCACGCGGTGAGTCTCTACTCCTCCCGCTGCTGCAGGGCCTGCTGGGCAGCGGCGGCGAGCGGCTACTGGCCGGGCTCGGCGCCGCGGGGGCCGACGTTGTCGCCGACGTGCGCCGCTCGTTGGCGCGCCTGCGGGCCGCGTTGGCGCCGCCCGCGGACCACCCTCAGGCGCGTGCGCTCCTGACCCTAGCTGATAGGCTCGAGGACGCGCTGGACAAAGCTGACCGCCTAGACGGCTGCCGCAGAAAACCACGCCGCCGCACTCGTGCGAACCGTCACACAGTTGGTGTTACGCATGAGGAGCTCGCGGAGGCGCGACGACTAGTGGATCGGGACCAGCTATCCATGAATACCGAAAACGTCGAACCCCCTACATCCTCGTCTGGGGCGCCTTCTGTCATTTCCGCTGCCAATAGTATCGATGAACCTCCCACGCCGGAGCGTAAACAGAGCATTGACGAGGAAATGGTCAGTTACCACAATGCTGTGGCCGTAAGAGAAAAACAGGGGCCGATACAACAATCTGCCAGTATTGAAGTGGCTCCCAAAGTGAATCGGGACGCACGTGTAGTAGAAAGACGCGCTCCGGGAACTAGGAAGCCCGATTTCTTCCGTCACTCAGTCGCTGATGGATTACAACCACCGCAGCCGCGCGAGGTATCAAGTCGTCGTTCTTCCGATTCGAAGAGTGGTATCGCAGCTATAGCTAATAAGTTTGACGCCCAAGCGAGAGATGCACGAGAAATAATTCCAGCTAGACGCGCTCCATTTACTCGATCTCCTCCGCTGGTTGATACTACAACTGTATCTAAAAAACAAATAACACATGAGGAACCTAAACGAGCACCCCTATATAAACCACTACCTCCGACTTACAACTTTGCTGCGCCTCCACCTGCAGAAGATTTCTCCAAACCTCTTAATCGATTTAGCAACAATAAGCGCAGTCGAATGAAACGCGCAAATACAATAGACATAGGTCGACCGCTCGGTGGCTACAAAATAGACAGCGATACTGACGAAGAAGGTGGAATTCGTCATATACCTATAGTGCCAGAATTTACACCGCAAACAGAGAATGATAGGAAATTCGTTGCTTTCATGCGTAAAAACCAAGAAAATGACCGTGCTGTTAACGGTCAATCAAATTGGAGCAATCGATTTGGTAATATAAAACATACATTTGAAAGTCGTGAGCGTGATGACCAAAGTAGGTCTTCCAGTACTTCGTCAGCTAAACGATTTTGGCGTTCAACGGAAGAAACAGCGGTCTCTGCACCTCGCCCTCGCAAATTCCTTGCTGATGTTAGTAATACGGAGATAATCAAGCCGCCGTGGGCGAATGAACGTCGGGAACCACCCCGTGTTTATATTCCCCCACAGACACAATTGTCACCACAAGTGCAACTGCAATCACCACAAATGCAGCTATCACCAGCAATACCAACTACGCCTCTATCGCCCCAACATCACCCGTCGATACCGCAATCACCGACAAGACCGATAGCTACAAAACAATTCGTCGCTAAACCAATTCCAGTGAATCAATTTTCACATGCACCGATGTCAGCATTTAAACCACCAACAAAGATAGTTTCCCCGACGAGCGCACCATCTCATATCTGGAGTCCTCCTTCGTTGAGTAGTGCTGTGTCTCCGACGACGGAGATTCCTCCTACTTATCCCGTCGGTCCGAAACCAATCACTCCTAGCCCTACAGTTCCCAGTGTACCATGGGCGACTGCTGAATATGACAAACCTAGACGAGTGGTCGGGCTCGCTGCTGCAAGGTTTGAGAGTGCAAATATTGAGCCTCCACAACCGCCTTCAGCACTGCCATACAGGGAGCGACCGTTCGCCTCTAACCCTCCCACTCCACCGACTCACGCGCACCCATTGATACAAAATTATCCAGTAAAATCAATACCGAGTCAGAATAATCTCGCTGCCCCAGAATTGGTTAAAAAAGTCGACGTCACGAAACAAAATTATAGCCCTGGCCCGATTTCTCAAAAAGTAGATTCTCGAAATTATGGATCTACCCAATTCCCTGGAAAAGTAGATGCACAAAAGCTACAAATAGAATTTTATGAAAAACGAATACGTGAAAGAAATCGACCAGAGCCATTAACGAACGGTCATCGTGAACCTAAAGACCGCAAGCCACCTGCGCCTCCAGCGTACACTGTTACCGACTATACGCCTAGTAATGTGATATCAACATTCGTTCCTCTCCAGCAAACGCCTGACATCGAAAAAGCTCGGGCCCATAAAGTGGATTATCTTCCAGACGTGGTTATGAATGAGAATGATAGAAATAATTATACACATTCACCAAATGCTAGAACACCCAACAATTCCTATTCTCCAAGAAATAAAGGACCATACGTACACCAGAACGGTGACTCGTATGTAAACGGCACCGATGATGGACCGACGACAGAACACGGTAGCGTCGTAACTAAAGTGATGCGAGGTCCTGTGCGCGGAGCGGCCACTATCACGGCCGGTGTCCGCACTCGTCATGACGACGAGCGCCGTGGTGCCGACAACCTCAAGGGAGTACTCGATAAATTGTCGCTGCCAAAGCGTGAAGCGCTCGCACACAGCGATCGCAAGAAGAGAGACATCACGCGTAACCAGGTACGGGCTCCTGTACAGAACGGCCCCTCCCCACTGTCCACGCTCGCTCCCATGCACGCCCGTCCGCCCCCTGCCATTGAGTACGACAGCGTGCCCCAATCCCCGGCCGGCGGGCGCAGCCCCGCGCTCGCCGCATCCCGCGAGTCCGTGTTGTCAAGCGAGTCGCCTGCGAGTGCCGGCTCGAGCCCTCTCAGCAGGTCTGGATCCTGGCACCAGCTCCCAGACCGTATACCTAAATCGTCTTCTCCGCGACGCGTGGTCACTCGAGCAAAGTCGATGCATCTGCTGGCCGTCCCCAAATTGTTCGAAGGTGGCATTTCACGCGACGACGTCACAGAGAAAAAGAGAACGGTGGAGGCGTACTTCTCTGGCCAGGCGACGTCGGCGAGCAAGTCACACGCGGCCAGTGTGCGGGCGCGGTCGGCGCGCGCGTCGCAGGCGCAGTCGTACTCGCTGGGGCGCAGCCGCACCATGCCCACAGTGTCCGAGCTGCAGTTCCTGGACGAGAGCAACGCGGACGACGCATTCGAAGATCTGGTGTCGGCGCTCGCGTAGCGCCGCGCGGACATTCCACTAGTTAGAAGCGGGAGACAAGCGAGACGCGCGTGAGTCGTGTGTGTGTGGGCTGCCTGTGCTTGCATCGCGCCCCGCCCGTGTCCGTCGCATGACCCCAGCCCCTCCGAGCCCTTGTGAACCTGAAACCCTAGGTGTCGATATCCAATTCACGTCGTTGTATATACTGTTGTAAAAGTAACATCTGAATTCATCTCATCTAGCCCTGTAACCGTGTTATTTTGACTAATAGCTTATAAGTATTACCGTACTGTCTTGCTGGTTGTTTTGAAGTGTTTCGAATTAGTGTTACCTAATTCCGTTACAGCTGCGACCACACAACTTAATTGCGTACTTTTATTTCGCAGAGGAAGAAAAAGTAACCACAGTGACATCGAGCGTTAGGAGGAACTCATCCGAGAAAACTGTTAGCAGTAGCACCACCACCAAAACCTCTAAAGGTATAAAGCGATGACAATATTATTGTTCTTCCGTTTACAATATAAATATATACAGTATCATTAATGCCTGTTGCCTCAAAGATTGAAATGATTTTCGAAACGTTCTACCGATTAGAATAAAATACAAATAACTTTAAAGTAATAAAATATTTTATTCACACCTGATTCCATAAAAATACATCTATTAAAAAGTTTAAAATTCGATGTAGGGTATCTACCACCTTAATTTTGATAATTGTATAATACCTAATAATGTTGGACGCGCAGTGTCGGAAACAGTTAGCCGGCCGGCATCCAAGCAAGTGTCGCCCTTCGCCAAGTTCCGCCAGCTCGAGAAACAAAATTCAGTCAACAGTCCCAAGTAAGTACCACAACCCTCGCTCTCCCCTCGTCCTCGCCACACGACAATAACTGTATTTCCAACAATCGTCTATTATCCATAATTTTATAGATATACATAAAAATAATACATGCCTACACAAAATATTGTTACGAACCGTTTATTCGTATATTTATATAGAATCTATCTGCTTGATACATATTTAATGCAATATATTTATTTATTTTGGCAGCCATATCTGTGGATACCAATAAGGAATACAAGTAAATATTCAAGTCCATGATATACATATAAATTAACATAATACAGTAGCCGCTTATTACAAATTATACCCGATTTAATCATGAGAAGCATCATTAGGATAAGTACATATTGTTACTGAATGAAAATTATGTACGCGCCCGTGTGTACTTATCCTAGTACAACATACATGACCCATGTGCATACGATCGGCAGTCGCTTAACATAGTTCATATAGCGCACGCGTTATAATATGTAAATAACTTGCGACTCGCTAGCTAATCGCACAGCGCGTTTCGAGCACTCGATTGTGAGCGCACAGACTAATAACGAGCGACAGTACGTCGAGTGTCGCAGAGACGAGTCGCTAGTGAGACTAACATGAGGCCCCGTTGTAGCTCGCCCAAGACGCCGCAGAGCCCGGGCTCTCCGTCGCAGCCTTACTTCAAGTTCACCGACCCCACGGTGCAGGCCAGCGCGCTCACGATTAAAGAGCGGCTGCTGCAGTGGTGTCGCGACAAGACACGGGACTACGAGGTATACTCCACACCCACGCCCTGCGCCTGCGCCCGAGACCGCGCCCACTACGCACGACCCTTTACGTTTTTAACCACTTGATTCCACTCAGTAACAAATGTCTGGTTTTGTAGTATCGTGTTGAAAGTAGTTTTGTAACAATACTATAATGTTTAATATAATAAAGAAACTGGTTGGGACGTTTCGTTGTACCGCTGACGGATAGATGTATATTTTGCAAGGAATTGTTTATTGATAATTTAAGATTTTGCAAGCGACTTCAATCGCAACAAAATTAATACACGTTAAATACGGGAATAAATCAAATCGATTGTAGAAATATTTATCATAATCTATTCAGAAGTGGCAAAGACACAAAAATCAGGCCACCCTGTTATTGAAGTCGCTTTAAAAAGATATAACTTGCAAAATCTGCATCCTCACAAGCGAGGGCGTCAGGGCGCACCGTTCCGACCGCCGCGTGTTGTTGCTCCTGTTCCCTGTGGCATGCCGCGACCAGCTACGCGCACTTAACACTCCGCGTCACCGAACAACCACCACCGGTTACCGACCACCGTCTACCGCAGTACAAACTAATGCGAACATCGTTCAAATCCAACCAAATAATATAATCACATTATATTTAGAAATTTCCGATTGGCAACTCAGAACAGATCACTAATAACAACCAAAAATTAAATACACTAAACAATGATTGTGTACATACATAAAGTACATATACAAAGTATGTTGCCAGTACATTAGTAGTGGAGTTGCCTAATAAAATTTTAGATATCAAGTAATTAATACCTAAAGAAATAACTTATTAATTAAACCACAAATAATATAATAATCAATTGTGGAAACAATTATAATTAACTAAGATTCTATTCAGTAATCGATTATAATTGATTAAATTGCATCAAACTTCATGTCGATAAGTTAATCGATGTTTATTTCAATTGAACACTATCAATTAATTAATATTTTCATTGGGCAACACTGGTTAGCAGACAGGATTTGAACTACGGCGCGCATTAGTTGCACTGTGCCACCGCTCACTGTCCACGCTTTCTCTGATGCTTCATGTTAGCTACGCTATATTTCTGTATATATTGTTTTCATACGTACTTATAACTAATTAATGTATGTAGTATACTTTCATACACTTGTGCGTTACCAAATCATATAACTTTGGTTTCAAACGCGCGACCTCTGAGTAATATTAATATAATTACACATTAAACACACAGATTTCTCTTAGTGTGATATTATTACTATATATAAAAACAATATCAAATTGTTGTGTGGAAAACGTTAACAAAATAATTTAATATTTTTACAAAAAAACCGACTTCAATTCTGACCCAATTAGTGGAACCACCTTTTCGATTAAACAATAGGGTAATTGAAGAATTTACGATTTTGTCCAACAAAAAAAAAAGATAGTAATAAAATTAACAGAGGACCAACACGGGAATTAACCTTATTATTTGCAAAAAGAATCATCAAAATCAGAATTGAAAAAGAGATCACCTAAAAATAAAGCAGAATTATTATGAGAATGAAAATCTCCAACTTTTTGAAGTCGGTTAAAATTAATTAACAAAAATTAATTCCAAGACACTGGAAGCATGTTTTAAATGCAAAAATATTGAAGCAAAACGTGTGAAAATATAATATTTAAATTGCATGACGTGTGACTCGATTATGTTACGTCTCCTGAGGATGAAATACCGAGACGGGCGCCAGTTGTGTCAATGGTAATCACGTGACAGGTGACCTTCTTGTACCATGGCACAGTAGGCACCTACTATGTACCCACCTACTGCAAATATCCTATAAATCAGGGGTAGCCAACAGTCGATCGTGGCAAGGCAAAAAAATATTTTGCTGATCTAGCGGATAACTTTCAATTTTATGTTTCCCTCTTAATAAAATAAAAAAAATACTACAATACTACATAATTGTATAGTGAACTATGTTGTTTCATTTGTGATTTCGAGAAGTATGTAATTGATAGATCGCACAGGGTTTCGTCAGTAAACAATAGTTCTTGGGTCTAGTTAAGTTGGCCACCCCTGCTATATATATTACCAATCTGTAGAAGTAATCGAAGCACAGTTGAATGTAGAGTGAACACACGGTCACCCCATTCACCATAGATTATTTAAATTAGAGATTATAATGTGATAAACCCACCTACCACCTATTCGTAGTTTCAACTTTTGGGATACCTATTAGCGAGCACCTCCTTATTGTAAGTAGAAAATAAAGTTGGCTGTTAGAAACGAATAGATTTAATGTAATTTCTAGTAGGTAACTAGGTCGAAAATCAATTTTTCTTACTCATTGTCTAATTTCACAATTAGAGACAATAGAAATAATGAACAAAGCGATGAAGCAATGGCTGATTTGAGAAAATATTGAAATCCATCTCTGTTTTAAGAGAGTTGACTTTATGAAATTGTACTTAAAGTACACCAGTGTTTATTCTTATATCTAATTAGGTACATGGATGACCTTTTAAGAAAACTACTTAATAAGACCAAAGTATTAAAAGAGACTGCATCGAATAGTGTTCGACGCCAATAACTTGGTAAATTAATATTGCAAAATAGCTAAACAGGACCTGCTTCTTTTAAAGAACGCTATACATAAGTTTAGAAACGTAATCATATAGAATACTGTAATCTGTTAATTACTTCATTAAATAACAAGATCTAAATCAACAATTCTCAACGTAGGTTCCGCAAAGTCTGCGGTACAGTCAGCTGGGTACCGTAAATTAGTAACATTTGTCTATATGCCCAAATGAACCTCTTGAACTTTTTATAAGCATCTGCAGAGGTAGCTCGCTTTTAAAACAATAGACAATTTGATCACAGACAATGATTACCATTCCCAAATTCACTTCCAAGTAATTTGAAATCATAATGTCTTTGGTGTGGGGAGCAAATCTTCTGAAGCCTTAAAAATTTTAGGACCATCTTCAGTAAAGAAACATTATAATATACAATTATATGACACATGTATTATGGTGTATGAGCAGAATGTGAAGCTGGAGAACTTCTCGACGAGCTGGGCGGACGGGCTGGCATTCTGCGCGCTGGTGCACCATTTCCTGCCGAACACGTTCGACTACTCCAAACTGACGCCGGAAAAGCGCCGGGCCAACTTCACGCTCGCCTTCAAAGTCGCCGAGTAAGATCATTGTCATCATATCAGACTTCTGTTGTTGAACATGGCCTCCATAGTTGGCATCATAAGAATGGTTTCTAGACAGGTGCATCCAAGTATAATAGTAAAATTATTGGGTGTATATATATTTTTTTATATTACAGAAGACATACGTGCAAATAAGGGGTGTTGCAAGCATTTGTTCTTACGAAAGCAGCCAAAATCTCTTTATGATCGCTTCATGATTAGGTTTATGTCCTTGTGCTCATGAAAAAATAATAGAATTACTTGGAATGGTCCTATAACTCAAGATTTTCATGTCACACTGGCGTTGCAAGCATCCTTAGGCTGAGGTGGTCTCAACCGTCACTTATTCCATTAAAATTACATTAATTTCTTTTTGGAACAAAAAATAATAAACGTTATTAATATTCCAGTGAGAAGGCGGGCATCTACCCATTGCTGGACGTGGATGACATGGTGGCGATGCGCAAACCCGACTGGAAGTGCGTGTTCACGTACGTGCAGTCCATTCACCGCCGTTTCAAGGATGAGGACTGACCGCAGTGACCGCCGCCTGCTGTGTCCACTTATACAGGTTGAGTCGGAACGAATGTACCAATAGCAGCTAAGTGATAGTATTCATGCAACTCAATTGTCTATGGGGCTTAGTAAGACACGCTCAAAATCATTTTAATTTTCGAATCTTCTTCAGAAATTATTTCTTCAATGCTATCACTGATTTTCGGCATGGTATACTCTTTCCGACTTAGCCTGTATAGTTCTCGCTGGACACAGTACGTTCACGACCGATCCAAGGCGTTAGATAGCAGTAGTCAAACGTTGTAGTCACAAAAAATTGTATGTTGTTTCTTTATGTTGAGTCCAAAGAGCGTATGTTGTTGATTTGTTTGTTATATGTTATGTGAGATGTTTATGATCATTGTCCGCCCAACTCGTTTCTCCAAGCGCTGTCTCGTACAGTCCTCCTATTTATTGTATAATCTCAAGATATATGTGATTTTTTTTTTATATTAGCTCGTAAGTTTCACTAACAGTTGTACGTTAGGTCATAGTCTGTAGATTGTCTATTTGTTTATCGAATGTTGCGAATCGTTCGCAGGGATCGCTTTGACTTATTTGTTCACATAAGGAAGTTGTATCCTTGTCGTCCGGTACGGTCCCACGGACGCGTACCCCGCACTTTGCGATTTTAACCATAATACCTTATTTTATGCTACTTATTTGACATTAATAACAGCGGCTTCAAATAATCGCGTACTGATTTTATCAAATTATATTATTATAAATATATTTATGTTATTTTATATTGATAATGAATGAAATAAATATTATTAACATATAACAGTGTTTTATTTTTAAATTTCTAATTAAAATCTAAAAAAGTAAAAGGTTATGCACTTCTGAACTGTCGTATCATAACTACAGAGATGAATATAAAGAAAAAAGCGCACGTACTGATTACCAAATAAACGTAGGTTACAAACATTTTAATCTCTTTGGCTGACTATTAAAAAAAATACATAATCTCGTTCGAAAATTCAAATATAACGCTTTATTTTTTTTTTTTCAAATGTTATCAACGACTAAAGAAAATAACTGTATGATCTTAATTCTTGAACTTTATCAAATAAAAAGGCATAAATCTATGACATTCACGGATCTTGTGACATGTACGGCAGTGCCACCATAAAAGGATCAGCTATGTTCGTACTGCGGTCCGCGGTGGAGCTGTTCCGGTCGCCGGCGACGACCGTCGCGACCGAAGAGCGCGGCGTGAGGGTGTGCTCCTCATCAGCGAGGGTGACGTGCACGTGCAGCGTGCTGTCGCGCCACGCTCGCCACGATAGCTGGTGCTCTTGGATCTTGAGCAGCATCCACGTGGTCAGCAAGCCGTTCAAGGCGCCTCCGGTGGAATGCAACGACAACATTGTTATTGCAAATTCTTACACGATATTGGAACTTACCATACTAAGAGCCGACTGCGTATCGACCACAAAAGAAATATTAACATAACATAAAATATAATAAAAGATATTTTCCCTTCCTTTCCCGTGAGTGTTGTAAGAGGCGACTAAGGGAACTTAATGGCCAAGTCATTCGAAGCAGCCAAAGTCTAACTGCGGTTGCCAATCCGCCAGTCAAGCGTAGCGGCTACTAGCAAAACTCCCCCTTACGGAGGAGGCTTTTGTTCACCAGTAGACAGTTAAAGGCTGATGTGATGATATTATTAAAAAAGCTTACTAGATAGTTAGCAAAAACATAATTTAGTATGCATTCATCATCTTCCAACCTTTATCCCAATCATTTAGGGTCGGCGTAATATGATTTTATCCATATTACAAAAAGATTTGGTTTTTAGTTTTACGACCGGCCACCTGCCTGACGTCAACCCTCTTTGGGAATGCATTTGTTGGTGATTTCCGCCACTTACGGTGTGGAGGAAAGGATTGAGGAAAAAAGGAAGGGAACGTGAATGAGAGGAATAATAAATTAAATATTTAGGCAGTTTAATCACAAGCAACTCCAGATATACTTCGGATATAATCGCAAGAATAGCTATGGCCAAACAAGATTTCAATAATAAAAAAAAAATCTTGTACAGGCTAAAATACCAAAAGATACTAGAAAGCGACTTAACAAAAGCTATATCTGGAATATACATTGGCATGGACGTGAGATACGGATATTAACCCAGAAAGAAACAGAAAACATTAAAGCCTTTAAAATGTGGTACTGAAGAAGGATAGAGACAATTAGCTAGAAAGATCGAATTAATAATGAGGAGTAATAGGGATAGTTACATCAGGCAAATCAAGGGAAAAAGTTAGTGTCGTGTCACTTCAAGAGGTAAAGAGACTCGCTGAATATCGTAGTGAGTGAATTTAAAAATTACATCATGCGGTCCAAGTGCATATGAAGAAAGCACTTCGTATTTGTTCCTATAATAATAAAATAGGTATACTATGCTTCCATGAGATTAGTTCATCCCAAATGTCTCGATGCCAGTAAAGTAACATGACAGAGATACCGACAAGGACGGCCTCCGCCTACCTGGTACCCTTTTTTTTTAATGGATGATAATGGAATGGTAACCCCACCCGTGCTATCGGTATACACCGGCAGGGCACCAGTGAAGGATAATAGGTGAGGATGAAGTAGGTCAGTTAGCCCATCGTGACGAATTCAACGAGAATTGTTCACGATGGTTTCCAGGGGAACCACATGGAGGTCGACCTAATAAGGCATATTGCTAGCAATGGGGCTGTCAAACTCCATTACTAACAATCCCTTTCCCCCCTACCTAGTACCCTTGGACAAGCTCTCGAGAGCGCTCAATTACTTCATTCCAAAAAATATGACTACCCTTAAATGTTTTTACTGATCCTCCTACGAAACTTCTCCATAGACACTATCGCCACTCTCACATTCTTAAACGTCGCCCAACCGCTACCCTCCCTCCCCTCCCCTACTCCTCTAAGGCAGTTCTAAAGACCGAAATCGTATAAATCTCAGAATAAGGAGGTTGAATAGAAATTTCGATAGACTAGACGATAGTCTATCAGGTCGACTGATATAATCTAATAAGAGTGAGCAGTCACCAATGATCCCGATGAGCAGCGAGGAGAAGATGTTGGCGGCGAGCGCGGCGGAGCCCCCGCGGCGTGCGCCGGCCTGCAGCACGAATTCGCAGGCGTGCAGCGCGCGCGCCGTGCCCAGCACGCTGGCCGCGCCCAGCGCCGCGCCGCGCGCCGCGTCCGCCGCCAGCGCGCGCCCGCGCCCCGACACCGCCCACTCCGCCACCGACCGCACCCACGACCACCTGCGTGCTGTCCCTGTCTACTGTCCACTGTCTACTGTCTACTGTCTACTATGTACGTCGCAGGATGCAGCGCGCGCGCCGGTGCCCAGCACGCTGGCCGCGCCCAGCGCCGCGCCGCGCGCCGCGTCCGCCGCCAGCGCGCGCCCGCGCCCCGACACCGCCCACTCCGCCACCGACCGCACCCACGACCACCTGCGTGCTGTCCCTGTCTACTGTCCACTGTCTACTGTCTACTGTCTACTGTACGTCGCAGGATGCAGCGCGCGCGCCGTGCCGCACTGCCCAGCACGCTGGCCGCGCCCAGCGCCGCGCCGCGCGCCGCGTCCGCCGCCAGCGCGCGCCCGCGCCCCGACACCGCCCACTCCGCCACCGACCGCACCCACGACCACCTGCGTGCTGTCCCTGTCTACTGTCCACTGTCTACTGTCTACTGTCTACTATGTACGTCGCAGGATGCAGCGCGCGCGCCGTGCCCAGCATATGTTCTTCCCGATGACGATCTTAAATGGACTGTTACTTGTTAGGGTCGGTACGCTTATGCAACTAACAGCAGACGAGAACTATTACCGATGGGTATTTGTTGGATGCAATAAACAAACGTCTATCCATTCAAGACAACATCATTGGGTCTATCAAAGATGGGGACATAATTTAAACAGTAATAGCTTTTAAACATCCAAAAGGTATTACACCGAAATACTGGCTCCAGCGCAGTACTCACTTATGACTCCTGGTGACAATATAGTGGTGGCGGCAGAGCTCGCAGTACGAGGTGGCAGCCTGAAGCAGCCACCGCTCCAGGCAGGAGCGGTGGACCGCCGCGATAGTCCCCCGGCACGAACACGGCCGCACCAACCGCTCAGCAGACTCCCCGCCGAAGCAAATCCGGCATATGTTGTCGGAGTGGATACTATCAGTAAAACTTAAGACTTCTTTCGGTGCTTGATTAGGACCCTAAATGGAAAAAAGCAATACTGGCATTTGTAAAAATCATTGCCAAAATATAAATGCATATTCTGATTAAAATGATTTTTAACAACAAGTTTATTTCTAAAAGTAATCCAGCAATTGAACAGTACCGATCATTTGGCTAGTAAGCTACTTAAATTATTCCCTTCTACCTACTTCTATAATTCGATACCCCAGTTTCTAATCATGTTACAAATACAAATAACTTTGTTTTGTTTGAAAAATGGTATAAAAGATGGTATATAATATTTAAATATTGTTCACATTTTTCACCAGAATCTGGAATACAAAATTTATTTAATTGTTCCACTATGCTAACACTATTTTACTTAAATCGTCATATTAAATAAATGTCAGTATTAATAATAAATTATACTGATTACAAATTACAATCATTTCACAAATTACAAATTACATTAATTGAGTCACATATTTAAGCTTTAAAATATTCAAAATATTCATTAACCGAGTAGAAGCATTTTTCTATCAGCCATCTTTTGTTTCTTTTTAAATATATTCAAGGGTAGTGTTTTTATTTCGTCCGTTAATTTATTATAAATGCTTATTGTCATACAGTAGGCATTACTGCTATTAATTACTATAACGTCAATGAATGTTTTATTTGTGATTATAAAAAAATTTGGCCCCAAATACGCCGCCATAGGCTCCAGCCTACTCAGCCTGTTTGATAAATTCGCCACTGAATTCACACGAGCTCTATCTACGTACCTCTTTCATACAAAAGGGACGAGGATGACTTGAGACTGTTTTTACCCAACTTGTAACTATTTCCCGAAGATCCTGCGCAATTTTCAGAAATCCTTTCTTAGGAGATGAATGAATTGATAAAAATCCTATTTAAACTTGTTTGCCACTCTTAAGTTTAGTAAATAATCCTCCATTGATCCTAACAGTAGAATCAAAATAAATCCACCTGTTTATTGAGTAGTAGCGCGCATACTGAGCCCAGTATGGACATGGAACGCCCAGTAGGCTGCAGCAGCGTCGACGCCGGTGACGAGAATGTTAAGGAGTCTGCGATGCGCGCGCGCAGCAATCGCTGTTCCTCATTTTCTGGTGTGCTCACTAATAAGAGTTTTTTAAAAAATGACAGTGGCACATAACCATTAGATCCATTAGTTTCCATCACCAGAGGGAGACTTTGTACAAAAGTCGTTTGCTTGGGTACCTCTGTCCCATTTGTGTTTTAACTATGAAGCAGTTGTGTTTGCATGACTGTGTTTCGGTTTGAAGGGTGGAGTATGGCAGTGAATTTACAGGGAACAGAAGTCACCTCAGTTCTAAGGAATAGCAACGCATGGAAGGTATCATGGGCGAAACAGTATACTTTGTTATATTCATAGTACTGCTCATGGCTATAGGCGACGGTTACCACTTTCTATCAGGTGGACCGTCAGCTCGTTTTATTACCATATCTTACTCTTAAAGCCAAAACAACCATGCAAGCATAGCTGCTTCGTGAAAGAAACTCAAGTGGAAAAGAGCTGCAGGTAGACGACAATTTTCTTCATATCAGAGTCAGGGTTTTACTAGATCAGCATCAGTAGACTGTGTGCCTTACGCACCAGAGGAGCTTCCTGGCGATCTGCAGCTGATATCCGTCTGCTGGGCTGTGGTGCGCAGTTCTTTGTCACGCTGGCTGTTTAGGCCGCTTGGCTACATAAACAGACAGAATCATTATTGAATTCATCGTCAATAGTTCTGTATGTAGTTTTTAGTGGATGGCAGTGCATGAGGCGTACCATGAGTTGAGTACCATTGTCTCTGTACTCTGTAATTTTATAATTTTACTATCATAGATAGAAATATTTAAACATATTCTATATCTATATAGATAAGTATGGTTGTCCTAGTAGGTAGAGCTATGGGGGAAATGGATTGTCAGTAATGAGGATTAATGGACCTACCGATAGCAATAAACCTTACCAGGTCGACCTCCACGTGATTCCTCTTGGAAACCATCATAATCAATTTCAGAAGCATTCATCTTCACCTAACACCCTTCACAGTTTCCCCGCCAGCATATACTAATAGCGCAGGCTATGTTACTATTCCAATTTCACTAAATAAAAAAGTATATATAGATTTTTGAACGCCTTAGAAAATTATACAGTCAAATTTATCATTCTATGCATATTGCATATATATATTTCAGACTTATTCGTTATTATTTCATACATCATCATAATCATCATCATCATCATATCAGCCTGTAACTGGCCACTGCTAAACATAAGCTTCCCCCTTGGGGGTTTGGCTGAAGTTGTTAAGACTCGATGCGGTTTGTGGAGGTGGTAAGTAACGAGAATAATTCAAGATATAAAATGTAAACTTGTATATCGAATAGACTGCCTAGCACAGAGGTTGTATAGCGAGTGAGTATAAGATAAAACATTCAAGTTACGTTGATCAATTTAGGTCACTTTCAAATTAGGGAACGGTGCAAAGTTCGCTTTGGAATTATGAATAATCATTGTGCAATATTACATGTAGGCACAGGGGGTTTTGTCAGTATTTGCCACGCTTGGCGGGCTTTAGAGATATTTTAAGAGAACGCTACTGCCCATCCCTTGCCCTCTCATAGTCGCCTCTTACGACACCCATGGGAAAGGAAGGGGTGGCCTATTCTATACCGGGACTACACTGCAAATTTCATACATGATCGCAATCATTTCAGCCATTTTCAGTCCACTGTTGGACATAAACCTCCCCTATAGACTGCCATATAGAATGGCCCTGAGCTAACAGCATCCACTGACTCCCTGTAATGCATTTCAGGTCGTCACTTCATCTAGTGGAGGGTCGTCCTACATTGCGTTTGCCCGTACGGGGTCGCCACTCAAGAACCTTTTTTCCCTATCGGTTATCAATTCTTCAAGTTATATGACCAGGCCATTGCCACTTCAGCTAAATTTCATACCTGCAACACAATAATATTGTTACCGGCATGTGTATGGAGGAGCAACTCGAGGCCGACATACTCATAGTGAATCTACTCTCGGAGCGGTTGCAGCCCCAGAACATTAACAGCGTCTCGCCTTCGCTAGCATTACATTCCTGTCCCACAAAAGAACAAAGTTTAGATATTCAAATAAGTGGTAATAACTACTCAATGACAAGTAAATATACTGGAATTATTTACCCTTATAATATTAGAGTAGCTACAAGTTCTATGAAACTTAAAATTAATACTCTGTAACGTTTGTGAAATATGGGGCGTGTAGGCAGCAGGAACGAGTACTGCCTCCCTTAGGTTTTGTATTGCATCACTCGGAAACTGCTCGATATCGCTGCAGTCTATCAAACAGTCCAGCGTTACAAATTTTCTCATTTTTCATTGTGTCTATAATTGGAGGGAAAGATAATATGACATCTTGTATATTTTTTTTTATTATTTAATAATTTTAATAAAGTTTATCATTTCAAATATTTAACGTCATATTGATTGACATAATTTTTTTTATATCTATTAGGTCAGGTATATAGTATACTAACCTTAATCTATGTACCTAAGCTATTGTACTTTTTTTTTTAATGAGTGATAATGGAATGGTTACCCTGTCTGCGCTATCGTTATACGGTGACGGGGCACCAGTGAGGAATGATAGCTGAGGATGAAACTAGGTCAGTTAGCCCATTGTGATGGTTTTGACAAGAATTAATCACGATGGTTTCTAGGGGGAACCGCGTGGAGATCGACCTGACAGGGTATATTGCTAGAAATGGGGAGTATTGTGCCCGTTACTAACAATCCCTCTCCCGCCAAGCTATTGTACTAGGCAAATACAATAGGCAACGAATGTTGCGATTTTACAAAAATATGCAAAAAGGATGATTTTTCAGCAAGCGACATTTCTGCCTAATTTAGATCAATTTTTTTGGTTTCGAGGCTTCCGAAATTTAATGTTTCCAGAAAGTATTTTATAAAAGATTTGTTCTATATTTTAGGGGCATCGGTTTTTCTTGGGATTGCAAGTTGAAAGGTCCACTGAAATTTTATAGGAGGTCGCACTTGCTGATATTGACCCAAATATATATTTATTTCTTAACATAAAAGCATTTATAGATGGATGAATATTATTTTTAAAGATTACATTAATAAAGCGCTTTAGTAATGGGGTCGATTCTGAAGCGCCATTACTGTCTTTTAAAATTTAAATTTCAAGTTACTGTCACAGCGAAATCTTTATTATAAGCACCAGTAAGAACTAATTATCTTATACATTTAAGTTAATGTTATTATAAATTTAGTTTATGATGATTTATAAAAATGTATTTTCGCTAAATTATTAAATTAAAATTTTAGGTTAAGAGATAATTGTATAGAATTGGCACCTCAGAATCGACCCTATATTCTTAAAATCAATTTATGAGAACGCATCATAATAAAACGTCAAAGTGACATTGAAAAAGTGTGTAGTGTATGACGCTTCTACTGATATCGATTTAAAAATATAAAAAAAAAAACTTATTTTTTTAATGGAAACTATCTCTTCCAAAAACGAATAAATTATATTATATTACAGCAGGACTGTATTACCAATAATAGAATTTGATATCTAATTATAAATAATAAAATATTAACACTGAACAACAACGTCTTTTAAATGAAATGTTGTGTATGTTTTTTTTTTTTCACTTGATGTCCCTTTCTAATTAAGCAAAAAAACTAAATGCATTTACATAAATACTTTTACACTTCTTGTTACAAGTAGTACAGTAGTTAATAATAATTATATTAACTACCTATAAATTAGCAAAAATGTACAATAATGCTGTCAGACTAATGTTTATTGAGACATCGTCATTATAAAAAATTATCTACAAATAAAAACAAAATTTTATATAAATAAATTAACAAATCATGTTATTTATATAGTATTATTCATTTAGATATGTACTTTTAGTATGTATGTGTATCAATTAGCGATGCGCGAATCGGAATGTTTTTTTTTATTAGTATAATTAGTAATTACTAATTTAATAATTCGGCTACAAAATTAGTAATATACTAATTTTCGTATTCGAAGTATTTCACTAATTACTAACAACTAATTATATCTAATCTACTACTACCAAGTCCGTTCCTTTTATCCACTACTACAACAACAGGTCATAAGGAGATAATTAGTGACATGAGTGATGAATAAAACATTCATTTCCAATATACATAATAAAAAACAGCAGTCAACTACATTCCTTTTCAATATACATAACTAATTACTTTAATTTCCTACTTTATTTAATTATGACTATGAAAAATTAGCAAGTTTTACTAGATAATAATTTGTAACACTCTTGCTCTTAATAAAATAAGATATTCCAGCGATCGGGTCGACTCGGCTGTATTTGTACGACTCATAATTCCATTAGTAAACCGTGACATTAGTTATCGAATGAATAACATTAATAATCGAATAATTTTAAAATCTATCGACTAATCAGGATGTTTTGTTCAGTCTGTTAATTAGTAGTCTGATTCGTAAAATTGCACATCGCAAATATCAATAATTATTAGTACCGCATTCGATTCGGCTATTCTGATACTTGCCTATAGTTGACTGGGAGAGAATACTTATAGCATTTATTCCACTATGTACACATATATGTACTAATGAATAAATAAATAAAATATTTTTCAGTTTAAAAACTCTTTTATGGACTTTTTTTTAATTGTGATATTTATCGATATGATGTGAATTAAACATGAAATTGAAATCACTACTCGTCAATCACTTCCCTCGCCTTTGCTTTTTATTTGACTTGTTTTTACCCACTCACATGTAAAGGAAACTTGGTTATTATTGTGAAATAGTTGGAAATTGGAAACAACTTTTGAAATTATAATAAAATCATGGCGGTTCGCGTACAATTCGAGAATAATAATGAAGTGGGTGTGTTTAGTAAATTGACGAACGCGTACTGCCTCGTTGCTATCGGCGGCTCGGAGAACTTCTACAGCGTGTTCGAGGCAGAGCTCGCGGAGACGATTCCCGTGGTTCACGTCAGCATTGCCGGGTGCCGAATCATCGGTCGCATGACAGTCGCCAACAAGAACGGCCTTTTGGTGCCCTCGTCCACAACAGACACAGAATTGCAACACATTAGAAACAGTTTACCGGACAACGTCAAGGTACAGCGCGTCGAGGAGCGGTTGAGCGCGCTCGGTAATGTGATCACTTGCAATGACTATATAGCTCTCGTGCACCCAGATTTGGACCGCGACACTGAAGAAATTTTAGCCGACACGCTAAACGTGGAAGTGTTCAGACAAACGGTGGCAGGGAATACACTGGTAGGCACGTACGCGGCGCTCAGCAACCGCGGCGGCCTCGTGCACCCCAAAACTAGCATACAGGATCAGGACGAGCTCTCATCACTACTACAAGTACCCTTAGTGGCGGGCACAGTGAACAGAGGCAGCGACGTGATAGGCGCCGGGCTGGTAGTCAACGACTGGTGTGCCTTTTGTGGAATGGACACTACATCAACAGAAATTTCAGTTATAGAAAGTGTATTCAAGCTAAATGATGCGAAACCAACAGCGATCACATCGACCATGCGGGCATCACTGATTGACAGCATGTCATAACATCGGTCCGTACTTCGTTTGCGGGCTGAATTAGGGAGTTGTGATAAGAGAATTTTATTTAAGTTCATCTCATATTTGTAAATTGTTAAGACAGAGTTTCTGTTAAACAGATTGCATGACAACCAATGAGTCTTGATCTATAAATATAGATTAAACATTTTCTGTTTTGTTATTTTTTACTATAACTACCATATTGTCAAATAGATAATTTGTATTACTTCAGCACACAAATAGCAACAAACCCAGATAAATATTTATGAAAATAAGGAAAGAAAAAACAAAACTGCATTAAAAGTTATTTAGATTTGTCTGCATGTGCCACAGTAACAAAAAATAGCCATAACATAAATGATGTGATGTCTTAACTTATGGCTATTTTGTGTTATTATCATCCTATAGGACTTTAATAATAAAATATGCCACGCTAATTATTATTATAATATACAATAGAAATTCTTTCATATTTCATTAATTTTTTAAACAATTTGTGAACTTTATATTTGTGAATATCTTTTATAAATTGCTTATAAACAAAACTTGTAGAAATTGTTCCTAAACTCTGCTACACTTCCATTATTATTTTTAAAAACCTTTCTTAGTAAATGATCAATCATATTAAAGGGCCTTAATGTGAAATCCTATCCTATATGTAAACATATTTTGTCAAACAAATATATCTTATCTTTATCCTATGTTTCTGAACTTAGTGTATATTGACATATCAATCTTTCTATTACGAACTAGCCATTTTTCAGTTTCATCTGTATGAAATCCATTTGTCTGTTGTTACTTAAAATAATTAATATGGACAGGATGATAATTCACTAAAAATATTATATTGTTTTTACCTGTACCTTAATTAAAAATAAAACAAAGACACTGTTACTTAGCAATATTTTATTTATAATATTAACACATTTAATATAACATAAATAGTTCACCCTATCTACAATTGCCACATGCGTTGCTCTGGAAGTACATACAGTCATCATTTACGATCACAAATTAATTTCCAAAACATACGTGCTCACCATTGTTGCACAATGCATCTAATGACTAATAACATATCGTCAAATTATGAAACAATATGGCTGTGACTTTGTCAGCGTAACCGGGAAATATTGATTTGACAAGTACAATGTACATGTCAAATATAACGACCTATTTGTGCCGTCAACAAGCCCACACGTCACAAACAAACTTGCTTTAACATATATTAGTCAGAATTGAAAAACTTTATGTAACTTTGTTACAAGAGAACTTACCTATGGAGCTATAAAAGATAATTTATCATCGAACGCTACCACCGATGACGCTCGCGACCAATTTCAACGTCATCAGTTCACCTCCTCGAAGAATCATTACGTCATGACAATGATTCATAGCAAAATACAATTTTAATCATATCAATGATTAATTATCATTATATACTAATATTTGATAAGTACTAGTAGCTACCAATTATTGCATAAAATGTCCTTTCTTTCGACTATGCCAACTTTTTTTTTTCTTTTCTTATGGCACGGCACAAAGTGCCGCCAAAAACAATGTTTGGGAAACAGCATTTTAGTAAAGGAGTTTTGGACGACAGAATTTAGAATAAGGATCAGAAAAGTTGAATAATCACTATGCCAAGTTACTAATCTATAGGTACATACCTGTGCTAGTACCTCGGTCCTATGATTTTTTTTAGTACGTTTGTTCCGTTATGGAACAAGCTAAGGTCGAAGACAATGCTGCCTAGTCTTCATTACGATATTTGTCTGGAATTCTGTCCTATGATTTGATCCTCACCACTGATATTTAACTTTTTTTTATGACAGAGAACAAACGAGTATATAACTAGCACGATAGTAAGTGATTACCCCCTTATGCGAGATTATTATTAAGCCCTTAGGCGAGATTAGAGAAATTGCAGACTGCTGTCGTTTTATGGGCGCTCTTAAAGGTTTCAGCGTCGTATCTATTCGGTTATACTGCTGCTGGACAATCAATCCAATCCAGTACCAATATTCATGAACCTGACAAACTGCACTCAAGAAATATCAAACTCTTCTTGCAAATTTCATAAGCACCAAATAGACAAAAGAATTACTAAGTCAAACACTTTTATATAAACATAGTTATGTATAAAAAATATAATTTTATACGAGATATACTGTTTCTTAGATTGAATTATACAATTCGGAAATTTATGTAATATTTTGAACATATTTATGTAAGTCTGTAAACATTTTGAATAAATGAAAATACTAATTAGAATAACAATGTAACAACAATTTTAACACAACGAACCTCAATTAAAATCAGTTGTAGAATTAGTGGGCCCTTCGATACAAATCTTAACATTTTTCCAAATTTACTCAATAGTATGTGGTACACTGCATATAGAGTGCATTATTGCATAAAATAAAGCAACTATATCTATTTAGGTACTAAATAAATTCACGCTAAATATGTCATCATTTATATCAATATGAATTAAGGTACGCTTCATATCAATGTCATATCATGTTTCATAGTGTCATACGAATCAAAGCCGATAAGTAGATAACTATATATTTGACAGTATTTATTTACATAAGTAGATTATATATATATATATATATATATATATATATATATATATATATATATATATATATATATATATATATATATATATATATATATATACTTTATTAAATAAGATTGAAAAAATTGCCAATATTTAAATGATGAAAATATACAATTTGTAAGCAAAATATTGGCCATCCTTAATTGTTACTTTAAAATGTATTGATATATTGTACAGAGTAATATATATGACTCTGAACTATATATATATATATATATATATATATATATATATATATATATATATATATATATATATATATATATAATTACAAATAACTAAACCTAATATCATCGGCGAGTTCAATTAATAATCATGGTAATAAGAAATGTCCTATAACTTAATACACATTATTTTACATCCAAGAGCCATAATCAATCAATAAATAAGCCATTATCAAATCAGCACAAACAAAATTAAGCTTACATATTTACTCAATTATAAAAAAAAAAACTTTTTTTTTTAATATCATTGACAGTTTGAATTCTATAGACAAATTAAATCACTCCATTTACTGCTTCCTTAATCGCCAACACAAAAAAAAAACTAACCTATAATAGTGCCATAGCGCCAATAAGTATACGGTCCTTCTGTTAGCAAAGATTCGTGTTGTTCATTGAACAATTAGATTATCTTGGGCAGAAGCATACACGAGACAATTAAATATTATTTATTTGTGCATTTTTATAAGTTGAGACAGTTGTGCAACAACCATCTACGAATTTAAGACTAGCCGTAGGCAGGAGACAGGAATTAAGAAACTTTGACATTAAGACGTAGACATTTCGATTTGACATATGTTTGAATTTATGAATATGGAACATGTTTATCTTATAGATAGATACTCTATTGTTTCCTCCAAAAGTAAACTTATTATAAATATAAACAATTACAAGAAATAATCACAGTGAGAAAACAATGGGCGACCTTATCGCTAAGAGCGATCTCTTCCAGGCAACCTTTGGATGGAGAGGAGTAATTATAAACAGTCTGATTGGAGGCACGATGAAGATCCTATTATTTCTAAATATGCAGATGTAATACATGTAATTATGAATGAATTTATATGAATATTTAGAATTATATATAAATATGTACATTATTTGTAACCAACGCAGTATCGCCAATGTAAATACATAATTATACCCTGTGAAGCATTTACACCACTTTAATCAAATACTATGAAGTATTTTGACATTATTTTTTATTAAAGGCTGCGTAAACGGTGGACATTCAATTTACGGAAAAACCCTTTTTTACCAGTAATCATATAAGCGACATCTATTGTCAAACTAAGCAAACCTGTACTATGACTACTAGACCACTGATAGACATAGTTTAACCCTTCTTTGCATAATGGTGGAAATTTCCATCATAACATTGAATGCCCAAAAATTATATAAAAGAACAATTTCACTTTAAGTTGATCGTGTCTGGGATACCTTTTTAATGTCTATTGCAGATTTTTTTTTTACCATTTTTCCTTTAATTTTGAACATGAATTATATTACCTTGATTTATTTCACCAATAAAAAAAAAAGATGCAAAGAAGGGTTAATAAACTTTTCTCTAAATACATATTATGCATAGACTACTCTCAGACCAATACAAACATACTCATGAATACAAATGTTTGTATTGTGCAGAAATCGAACTTGCGACCATCAGTAGGTGCGGTAATGTTTCAAATTGCTACACCACCAAGGTCCTCGAACTGTATCCTTGCACAATGAAGTGTGCATCATACATTTAGAAGTTTCATTATGACCACACCAAATACGTGCTTATGGCAAGGATTGTCTCTGGTTGAACTTCGAATCCAGGGCAAATGAAATAAATTTTGAACATAGGTAAAATGTCCCTCGTCTGCGCAGGGCATTAGAGTTAATATAAATGTATTTTTTTTTAATGGGTGATAATGGAATGGTAACCCCACCCGCGCTATAGGTATACACCGGCGGTGCACCAGTGAAGGATGATAGATGAGGATGAAGTAGGTCAGTTAGCCCATCGTGATATAAAATTCGACCAAAACTTCATAGAGACATGTCTGAGGGTACAGACGCCAAGTTTTGCTTCTTTAAACCCCCTTAAATACGCCAATGGCAGTCGCATATAACAAAAACAAACTATAAACAATCGACACCAGAGGGCGACACTTACACACGAATAGTAATAATAATATAAACATAGATAGTGACTTATTCGCTAAAGAGACATGTTAAAATGCTAAAATTATTTCGTAAACGTGCAATGTATACAAAAAAATATATATGTATGTATGTTTATTGATTTGTGATTATCTACAACGTTCAATACTAAACTGGGGACAACATTATGGCACATTACTAAGGTACGCACAAATGTACAGACAACTCTTACACTCCTATATTTAAGATATGTAACGCTTTCAGAAATGCAATAAGAAAATATTCATTCTATTAAAAGTAGATTGAAAGTAAACAAGCGGAAGAATGTATGTTTGTGCCACGAAATAAAATTTAGATTGTTCGTCATACTCGTGAACAGAACAACTAATTCTGTAGAGAATAGGGACTAGAGTAATATAACTGATCACTTCTGTTTTTAATTTTTTTATTCTACAATCATTTGTATTTACAAAATTTCAAAACTTTACAAGAGATTAAAAACTGTTTCAGTCGAGAAGAATTAACCCACTATTTTTTCTAGACTGAATGTCAACACTAAACGACGTATTAAGAATACTTTATTCTCTTTTTAAATTTTGACAAACGACTAGTGTTGCCCTTTATCAAAATTAAAAAAAAATTGGCCATCTCGTTTCTCGTTTGCCACTAACAAACAGAAAACAAGACATGAAATAGAAAAAGAACGGCACGAATTTTGGTATCAGCGATAGTTACAGTTTGATGTTATTATAAATTAAAAAAAATAATATTTTAAATCGATTGATATTGAGAATTAAAAAAAAAAACATTCGACGCAGGTTTGTATTGAATATTAGTTTGCATGGTCACGTGACCGCCCATTAAAATTACACAAACATAAAACAACACGCATTCAATTAGTCATCCACAATTTTATCATAATTCGTGTATTTAGAAACCATAAAATAAATGCAGCCATACAACATAACGCTCCCATAGATAGTATGAAGCCAAGCTCGAATTACAAGCTGATCAATCTATAAAAAAAACTACAGTGTCACATATTTTTTGTGTATTATTGAGCATTACGTAGACAAACACATGTGTATGAATATTTAAATACTACATCAAAGTGTCTTATATCCTCCTAAACATCAAAATACACAGCCAAGATTCCCCTAATTATACCACTAACAAAGTATATTCGATAGAAATAGAATAGTTTCCGACTTAAATAGGAAATAATCAGTGTGGAAAAATTGTACAGAGCCAAGTAAATTAAATATTTGTAACAAATATGACCAGGGCCGGATTATCCACAGAACAGTTTTGTTGCCCTGGGACCCTGACATGGTCAATCCGGCCCTGTCTATGTCTTAACCCTCCACACGCTCTAATGTTCAATAGAGTACACGATACCCGGATGTAAAATGTTTAATGATTCGAGATTTGTCATGGTTGAGAGTAATGTAGTCTTAAGAATATATAACCGACTAGAACTGACACTGCCGTGAATTTAATAATGATAACGGCGTTGTCGCGCGGACAGCTCGCGTCCAACTCGCGTCCTTTTAAGTCAGGGCTGGCAAACAACAGACGTACGCACGCAGCGTGGCTGAGACGTGCCACATTAAAAATTATTTGCAGGTTACAATAAAGACATATGCAATTGAATCTGTAGAACTAAACGTCTTGGCAGCACTGTCGCATTCTCAATACATACGAGTGTCACTTCTACCCAGTCTATTCTTATGGTAAACCCTCACATATGGGGCGGGATCGTATACAGGTGATTGAAAACACCCTAAACGCATCGGACGGAGTCCATTGGAACAAACATCTAGGCGGTGGGACGCACTAACAAACAAAAAATACGTATCAGACGAAAATTTTAATTTTAAACGCGAATAATATTCTAAATAGCCTCCATGTTGTTTTTTTTTTTTTTTTTATTATTAGTTATGATTATATACTTTATTTACGTTCGTTTGATTTTTACAAATCATACATAAAATTAATTGGTAAAAAACATAATTGGTGGTATCCAAACCGGTATAATTAGCTTAATTAACGAAAGGAAAGATGTGATTAATAAGTTACGAATTAATAAAAATAATAAAGAAATGTTTCATGCAGACCCCTCTTCCTGCGACGCGAGGCTGGTGTACCATATGGTCGGATGTAAGTTATAAAGTAGATCTACCTGCCTCGAGGCCTGCATCGGACCATAGATTAAGTATTTTTTTTGTACCACGACATTCCTTTCGTTCATATTTGATTTGGTGTCTTCTGATTGTTAAAATATATCCAATTATGTCCTAAAATTGATTAAGGTACGACGGGACTGACCTAGCCTGTGCCTAAAAGGACAAAAGTCCCTAAATAAATAAAGATTAAAAAAAAAAATTTGCTTAATTACTTCTCAAGTAATTTTAAATATTTTATTCTTTTATAGGTATATATATCTATCTATTCTTGTCATATTTTTTAATTTTCATCCTTAGATTATATAGATAGTATCTCCATACAGATGCTTCGAGAAAATTGACTCGCTTGGTCAACTTTTTCATACAATTTTGCATGATAAATATACATAGTTATTGAATGTTTCCTTTATAATTTCGTATATTTATTTTGTTTTATAATTTTCATAACTGTTTAATGCATAAAAACTCATTTTATTTATTAAATAATTAAATATAGACACGTCAAGATAAATTATAAGCGTAAGTATATTATTATAGTGTTAAAGTTTTAATACTGGCTGTTGACACTGAGGGTTTTTTAGAACAATGTATTATTTTTAAGTTGGTTCTATTCATCAAATTTTTATAAGACATGTCTCGTATTTTTTTCACTAAACTTATTATTTTATATCTCAAATACATATATGTTTTTTTTACTACATCCTGCTATTTACAACATATAGAACACTCATAAAAAACCGAGTCAGCTAATTTGACATTTAGCTGACAAAAAGTTGACCCATTTTTGAGACTCGATACTCTATCTATATAATGTAAGACTCTATCTTATTACATAATATCCTTTTTTCCTATTGACGTCAACAGTTTTTCCGTTTCCATTGATCCCAATTAATCGTCATACACGTACGATATCATTCGCTTTGGTCATCTCCTCTCTTCTCTTCTCTCTCTCACTTGTGCATCTCTTCTCATTTATATGCAACATTAAAATTATTATGTGACGTATTTAAAACGAAAACTGTGCTCAACATTGTCACTAAGTTTTTTTTTATTTTATTTTTTTTATACAACAACCTATAAAAGGTGACGGTTACCACTTTCCATCAGGTTAGCCGTCAGCTCGTTTGCCATTCTAAGTTGTATAAAAAAAAGAATGGCAAACAAGCTGACGGCCCACCTGATGGAAAGTGGTAACCGTCGCCTATAGATGTCCACATGAGCAGTACCATGGACATAACAGAGTATACTGTTTCGCCCATGATACCCCCCATGCGTTGCCATTCCTGAGGACTCGGGTGTTATTCCTCTGTACCCTGTAAATTCACGTTGTTGAAGTGTAGACACAACACTCACGCTTAAGCGTTGTGTAAGAAACGAACGTCTACTCGCTCGCATGTGATCCTAATAATATGACAACACGAGGCTCAATTCTAAAATGTCATTTTTGAGACTTATCACGTTAGAAACAGTTACGTTTCAGTTTTAATCCAGTGTGAATGTCTGAAGCTACAGTTACACATGTATACCTATGACGCGACAATTTTTGACATTAGATAATTGCTAAGAACAAGGAATTACATAGAAGTAATGATAAAATAAAATATGTTAATCATATGGTTGCCTCCTTTCTCCTTATGCAAATATAATTAGTGAAAAGAGGACGAAGGATACACCATCAATTGCTAGTGTATAGAAAATGTCATACGGCCGTATAACCCTACCAATTTCAGATACAACCTGCTTGCATACTATCTACATAAACTGTGTCCAATATATAATTTAGTAATGTAAAACTTGTCATTGACAAATAACTGACATATTAAACATTTTCTATACACTAGCCTGCTATGAATTGAGAAAAATAACAACTGAGGGTGTATCCTTCGTCTTCTTTTTACTAATTATATTTGCATAAGAAAAAAGGAGGCAACCATATGATTTACATTTTTAATTTTATCATTCCTTCTATGTAATTCCTTGTTCTTAGGGTAATGGTCGAAACTTCATATTTTTCATATAGAATAAATGACATTAAATAATCCGCCTCGCTGAAGCTAAGAAATCAGCACAGAGTCAAAATTTAAAATTATTAAAGTTAATCGAGACAATCGCGACCCTTTGTAGTCTGACGCGTGATGAGTTATGACACAAAACGGCCACTAGGGGCCAGGTGGCTAGCGAACCTGTCGGTAGACACGTTACCGCTACCGCAGGACGCCAGACGCCGCTTTTTCTATCTCACGGTCGTCCGCAGGCCTAGAAGTGGTGGACGAGCGGGTCGGGGCGCGCGCGCTCGTAGAACAGCATGTAGGCGGAGCAGCGCAGCACCTCCTGCAGCGACACCTCGTGCACCAGCGTGTCCGACGTGTACCACCATCTGCACACAACCAACACCACCCGCCTTCAGTTATTTTTTTTATACAACTTAGAATGACAAACAAGCTGACATGAGCAGTATCATGAACACAACAGAGTATACTGTTAAGCCCATGATACCCACCATGCGTTGCCATTCCTGAAGACTCGGGTGTTATTCCTCTGTACCCTGTAAATTCATGCCATATCCCACCCTTCAAACCGAAACACAGCCATGTAAACACAACTGTTTCACGGTAGAAACACGAATTGGACAGAGGTACCCAAGCAATCGACTTTTGTACAGGAGGTCTCTTAGTTTGTATCTAAGCCACTGGGTCGGTGTCTCTAACATTATTACTCTTAACAACAGAGTCTTTCATATTTATGATTAAAAGTTCTTCATCAAATGATGAATCATACAAACCGGTCGTCATAACAATTTAGTTCAACAAAGAGCATGCAAGTGCAAACAAACGTCGATTACCTGTTGGCCTCGAAGCCGTTCCCGCGGCGGTAGGTGGCGAAGTGTCCGGAACGCGGGCCGCCCACGTGCACCACCACCGCCACCAGCCGGTACTGCGCGCGCTCCTCCGCCGCGCGGCCGCCGCCAGCAGCAGCAGCAGCGCCAGCACCAGCGTTCAGCGACGACAGCCCGCTGCGCAGCCGCCCGTCTACCAGCGACGACAGCTCCATCTACACACGCACAACGTGCAACCATAGCAAGGGGAAGGGATTGCTAGTAATGGAGACTAAAAGTGCAATTGCTAGCAATATATCCAACTAGGACAACCTACACGTGGGTTCCCCTTGGCAACCATTACACTGAATTCCAGGTTTATCCCACCGGCATAACACTGTTAACAATTCCATTGTCATATATTAAAATAAAAACATGCAACACATTTTTTTAATGGATGATAATGGAATGGTAACCCCGTCTGTGCTATCAGTATACACTGGCGGGGCACCAGTGAGAGATGACTCACTTAGAGTATGAAAGTAGGTCAGTTAACCCATCGTAACAAATGCAACAAGTATTAATCACAATGGTTTCCTGGGGGAACCGCGTAGTGGTCGACCTGACAGGGCTTGCTAGCAATGGGGCCGTCAGCCGTCATTACTAACAATAGCTCGCCCCTCAAACACGGACAGTGTAACCGCTTGGCTGACCTCGGGCTGCGGCACGGCCGCGTAGGGCGCCAGCGACAGCGTCTCGGGGAAGGCGACGTGGTCGGGCCGCTTGCTGAGGGCGCCGCCCGCCCACTCCACGCGCGCCACGTGCAGGCACAGGCAGCACGGCAGCTGCACCGCGCCACACCACGCCACACCACGCCACACATGCAACATCGCAACCTCATTTATATCTACAAGTTCATATTGAACGCATAACACAGACTCCTTGCATTATAACGCACATATTTTGCTTTCAGAGGTATCATCTTTTCGTGTACATGTGTACTTTAATTCATGATTATCCAACCGATCAAACCCTTAACCATCAAATGCTGAAATAAGCCCTCAAAAGAGGGGCCCTCCATTGGAGGATTTTGCCAGTAGTTGCCACGCATAGCAGGCAGACTGGCAAATGTAGTTAGGCTTTATAGATGTTTCAAGAGGGACGCTGCTGCCCATCCCTCGCCATCCCTTAGTCGCCTCTTAGGACACCCACGGGAAAAGGGATAGTCTATTCTATGCCCGGACCACAGGGTATGTTAATTGCAAGACATAAATATGCGACCTTCCCGAAGCTGAGCGTGCGGATGTGCTTGGTGGCGGGCGGAATGGGCGGAGTGGGCGCGTCGGGCCGCTCGGGACAACACTTGCTGCAGCGGACGCCCTTCACCATTTCGGGCGCCGTGAACGCGCGCAGCAAGCCTGCATGCACATGGAACATAATCTCTTATTAGTATTTAATTTTTTTACATATAATTTTCATTAGAGGTGATTTAGTTAAATGTGTATATTATAGCCTTCATATCTATTTTATGACTTCTTTTGCATGACTGGGATATTTTTTTTTATGGGTGAAAATAGTATGGTAACCCCGCGTGCGCTAACGGGATACACTGGCGAAGCACCAGTGAAGGGTGATAGATGAGAATGAAAACAGGCCAGTTAGCCCATCATGATGAATTCATCGGGAATTAACCATGATAGTTTCCAAGAGGAATCGCGAGGAGGTTGACCTGGTTGGGTCTCAGTCTCCATTACTAACAATCTCTTTCCTTCCAAACTGAGATATTGTGTTCTATCATAAAATCTTTACTGTACACACTAAGATTTATTATATTTAACTTATCCAATAGAAAGATCACTTACAAATCAGCTTTTGAGAAGCTGAAAGAAAACTATTGAACACTTCATGGGTAGAAATTGCCAGTCAGGATGATGTATCGATTATTGGATTAATTGGTATAAATATAAGAACTTGCAATAGGCACTGACCTGGTAAACTGTACGAGCCAGTGAGTCCCACGCTCGCGTTGGCCATCGACAACGAGATGCTGTCGAACTTGTCGTAGCGGATGGGGCTCTGTAACAGTAGTTAATGATTGACAGGTGACAAAGTAGACGAGCAGGGAAAGCCGCATCTTGGAGGATGCGAGCTGGAGGCGAGATGTGAGGGGTGCGTGGTGCGGGGGGCGGGGCGGTACCTTGGCGTTGCAGACGGTGCAGTGCAGGCGCGAGGCCAGCGTGCCGCGGAAGGGCGCGGCGGGCGGCGGCGGCGCACGCGCCGGCGGCACGGCCCAGCGCCGCCCCACCGCGCTCAGCTGGCAGAACGACCGCGACACGCCCTTCGCCAGCCCCATCCGCGTCGGCGCCGCCGGCTCTGCGACAATTAGTACAATCCACGTGTTGTCCACTCAGTTCTAGCGACTTTCCCCGTGAGCAATTTCAAAATGGTAAACAAATAAGACGTACCAGGGTGGACGAGGTCGGGCTCGTCGGCGGGCGCGGCGGAGGCTGGGCGTGCGAGTGGCAGCGGCGCGGGCGTGGGCGGCGTGGAGTCGGCGCGGGCGGCGGGCGGCGACGCCGGCGACGCCAGCGCCGACCACGCGCGCCCGCCGTTCAGCCCCAGCGCGTCCGACAGGCAGCCCGGCTGCCAGTTCACACGCTCACATAAATCCTTTAATTCAACTTTAATATTCTTTTGTGATTAATCCCAAACATTGACAGGTAAATAAGCTGCAATAAATTGAAAATCTACAAATTTTGTGATGATCCCGCTCTTAGAGAAAAGTTCATAAATTTAAAACCAGACTGGGGAAGGTGAGATCATAGGGTGAGACTGATGTATAAAAAAGATGTCAAAGTAAATGAGCATCATGAAAAGATCAATGATCACTAAAATGAACAGTGAAGTTCCCAATATTCAATGTTTTTTTTTCATCATTAGGAAATCATTGGACACTACCAAATATTTGCTAAAGAGTATCTCCTTAAAATGTGTTAATCTTATGTCTATTTTTCATCATCAGGGGTCAATAACCAGCCCTGTTTACAGAGTGGTAATTTTTCTTACAAAACAATAATACCTTCCGAGCCATAGCAGTGGTTTCCTCCTCAATGCAGGAGAGCAGCACATGTAAGAGCTCATGTGCATCCTGCTGGTCAGCGGGGACCACCCAGCCAGCTGCTCTGAGTGCCTGCAGCACTCCCAGGGGACACACAGGAGTGCCACGGGCAGACTCATGTGTTCCGTTCACAACTACAACAAAACCACTACTACTTACCACTATTGTTAACTTTTTTACATTAACTTCCTTATGTTTAGAATTATCATAGATTTTTTTTTTCTTAATTGGTGGAAATGTAATAGTAATGTAACCCAAACGGTGCTATTGGTACAAACAAGAGATGTGAGGATGAAAATAAGTAAATTAGCCCAATATGTGTTAAGAACTTCCTTGGTTCAATGGCAGGCGATTTGCATTCTAACAGCGCTTGTCAATGTAAAATAAAAAAAAATAATAATAATAGAATAAAAATGACTAATTACCTTTTTGTCTTACATACTATGAACATTGACTGAACTTGCTAACTGACTAATATTAACTAGTGCAGGTAACTAAAATCCTAGTCCTGGTTTTCCTTAATACCGATCCTGATCCCGGCGTTGCTTAATACCGGTGAGTGCTACTACCAATTTCCTATATTAATATGACATTATTCCACAATTAACTATTAGCTTCCAAGGAGAATCACATGGAGGTCAACCTAATAGTATAGCCTGTATTGCTAACAATGAATTTATTTGACCCCATTACTAAAAATCCCTTTTCTTCTAAGATTTGTCACAGATGTCATATCTATAATAGGTTTAGTGTAATGTAGACATTACAGCAACAGTTAACAATTGCACATTATTTTTTTTTAATTATTGCAAAATTATTATTTCTGTTTATTATTAATATAATTTTTTCATGGTTACTAAATTAAATACCCCGTTGTGATTATATTATTTACTAAATATATTTACTATATATAAAACAAATAGATTATCAATTGACAGACCTTCAATAACTGTGTATAATGTTGTTATCATACTATTATGTGCATCCATTTTCGCATACTTCTTTAGCCAGTCTATGAAGGTAGGACAAGCAGCCAGCGCTTGCAGGAGCGTGTTGAGAAAACAGGTCCGACCCAAGTTCTGCAAGCCTGCAATCTGCCCCCGCCGTTTCCTTACACGAGGTGCACCTCCAGGACCCCACAGGACGAAAGCGCCGACTACCACAGCAGCCGTCAGCCCCGCAGCCACTAAAATTCTGTCCCCACTCTCCATTGTCACACAATCGGGGTTACAAATTAATATCAAAGTCCTTTATTAGACATATTAACTGAACCGCATCAGTGATTTACTACAATAGCAAAATACTAAACAATTGGCGAATTTATATATTTTCGTCAAGAAATAAAATGAAAATTTGATTTGACTTCTAAGTAAACATGACATTTATTTCAATCAATTTGACATTTTACAATGTAAATGACACAGACTAAATAAAATTATTCAAAAGGCGCAGGCTAAGCGTGGGGGGGGGGATACCTATCTAAGGTATATATTTATTCTATGGTACGCTTGAGATATGAATGAATGATAAATGACACCCAGTGACAGCAAAAATTGCGGAGAGGTCTCTAATAGCATAAGAAACTTTGTGTACATTCTATGCCACCAGTCCAGTAAATTTTAAATTATAAAATGAGTATATTTTTATGATACCTATCAATATCAATATGATTATGAATTCATAGAGACATATTATAAATTGTAGCATAACACCATAAATATTAATTTATTTTATTGTGTTAGTGCTTTTAAATGCTTGCATTAAAACATTTAAAAGTTTCATTAGTACAAGAGTATTAAGAACAGTGCCGATCCTTAAATATTGTAATTACGAGCGTTGCCAGATTGAATATTTTTTTCGCAATTTTAAGTAATAAATTTAAGAAATGAAATTCTTAAAGAAATTTGTAGAGAAAACTCAAATACGTTTGGAAATATTAAGATTTTTTGATTTATTATTTTTTAAGTCAGCTTAAAAAATATAAATGAATGAAGCAAAACCGGGAATAGGATATGAGAAGGGTAGATACTAGTAGATAGCTAAGTTCACTTTATAACACACTAGTTCATTATAACAACCTGCGGCTTCGCTATTGTTCGTATTCATTTTGTTCAACAATTCTGGTTGTTGTTAGAAAAAGAAAACACACATAAACAAATAAAATATAATACAATTACTATATCATTACCATCATCATCATCATCATCGTATCATTATCATCATCATCATATCAGCAATTAACTGTCCACTGCTGTGTTGCGCTATGTTTAGGCTTTCCTCATAAGAAAGGTTTTGCTTAGGATTTTGTTTTTTTAGGTTTTTAATGTGTGAAAATAGAATGTTAGTCCCGTCTAAGCTATTGGTATATACTGGCGGGATAACAATAATACAGTTGGCCAATCGTGACATTACATCACGATGGGTTTCAAGGGAATCACGTAAAGGTCGTCGTGACATATTGCTAACAATGTGGCTCTTAGATCCTGTTACCGACAATCCCTTTCCACCTAGCATTTGAATTAGTGACCGCAGTTAGTTAGATAGTGGTAATGTCTCAACCATTATGATCCTTTAGTCACCTTTTACGACACCTACGGGAAAAGAACAACATTATTATCATAAAATTAAACACAGATAATCAATCTGTACGAAGTATAAAATAAAAAAATACTTGATACAAGGTTTTTTTTATATGCATGTAGTAATTTACTATCAGGTGAGCCGCATATTCACCTGATAGTAAATGATTACCGCCGCCCATAATCATCAGCAACACCAGAGGTATTGCAAATGTGCTGCTGACCTTTTAAAAAGGAATGGGAAGGAATTTAATATATGAATACATATATAATAATTAGAAATGAGATAACGAATTTAAAAATAATAAAATATATTATCACTCAAAAAAAGGAAAAAGAAACAACAGAAAACAGAATCTAATAAAAATATATAGCGATTTATACGTAAAAACATAACAAATAAACAAACCAATTTTTGTTTCATCAAATTTAGGATGGCAAATCAAAAAAATTTACAACTATTAGATTGGGTAAAAGTCTTAAAAATCTTAACGATTTAGGGAAAAACGTTTGGGTAAAAATCGTAATTTGTATCTGGCAACTCTCGTAATCTCCTTCACTACATTGAGTGATTGTCAACAAATCAAATTTTATCTAAATATTATTATTTTTTCCCCTACCTATATAAAATAAAATTACTGAAATGAACGAAACAATGTAATAAAAATAAACCGCGATTAAGTATAATTTTTAATATATATTTTTTAAATTTATTGACTTACAAATAAATAATGATAATTCATATTTTTCCCCAATTTATTATTTTATTACCGCTATAAATTTTTTAACATTTTATTACTTTTATTATTGTCTTGTATCTATTTCATTCAAACAATGATACCATCAAATACTATCTGCGTCTCACCGGAGGGGCCGGCAAATGCTCTAGCCCTCAACAAGGATTGCACCCAAGTGGTTATAGCTGGACGAAATGGTACATATAATACAATAATTCCATTTAATTACTATAAAATTTATTTATTTGATTTTTTTTAATGTCTCTGCATTTCCTTAGTACTATTCACACAGTTTACCTGTGAATTTTGAAATATACTTTCTTATTGTTGTAGTGTTTAAAGTGTTTTCAATTGGAGAAAATGAATTTTCCGAGGTGTGTAACCTTCGTGTGGGCAAAAACTTGAATCTGAATTTTTCATCTATCGATGTCGCCTGGAGCACCATTGAAGGTAACATTTTTTTAACAACTTTATTATTGAGGATTAGTATTTCTCTCACTATTTTTTTTTCAAACTACTATTTTTTCACTATTTTTTAATTCTTCTTAAAATCATTTATGCCAAGGTTATGTATCCTAAGCAAATGCTATATGGTAGGGGTGGCCAACCGGTCGATCTTGACTATTGGTTCAGTAGATCGCAGCAAGGCAGAAAATATAATATTTTGCTAATCTATCGGAAGATGCTTAGACGCAATGCTCACATTAATATAAATAAGTATTTACTAAGAATAACTTTCAGTTTTATGTGAGATATAGATAAGAGAGAAATCTTAATAAAATAAAAAATACTACAATACTACATAATTGTATATTGAACTATGTTGTTTCATTTCAAGAAGTATCTAATTGGTAGATTGCACAGGGTTTCATAAGTAAACAGTAGATCTTGGGCTTAGTCAACTCGGCCATCCCTGATGTATACCATCCGCACCAAAGTTTGTAATTTGTTTTGCCTATAGAATATTAAAAAAGTATGTGAAAGTGTGTGATAGCAGTTAATAACTTCAATCATATTTTTAATACTAAATCCATTCTTTTTGTGTTAGGTTAGGTTAGGTTTTTTTGCTCTCTTATTGATCCCAGGTGTGCTAGTAGAGTCAATTTTAAATTGGAATTTTTCCAGATATAAAATTTTAAATTACCTATACACTCATATACCCCAAGATTGCTATAATAATCCATTGATATAAATTTAATTTGTTACAGAGAACACACTAGCGACAGCGGCCACAAATGGAGCGGTGGTTGTGTGGAACCTCGGACGCTCTGGTCGCTCCAAACAGGAACATGTGTTCTCAGACCACAAGAGGACAGTCAACAAAGTAAGCACACTTATAAGCATTAAATAATAAAATTGGAAAATGGAAATTTTCTAAATATTATGTTTTGTTTGTGAAAGTTACAAAAAAAAAAATGGTGAGAATGAATAGACAGAAAACAAATCAGCCATTTTAAAAATTAAAGGGTTTAAATTAATTTTATTAATGTACGAAACATGTCAATCTTTATGCTTGTACATTCTTTAACAGGTGAGCTTCCACCTCACAGAGCCAGCTCTCCTCATCTCCGGCTCCCAGGATGGCATGATGAAATGCTTCGACCTGCGCATGAAGGAGGTAGCTCGTACTTTTATCAGGTTAGAGAGAACAGATATTGTTTATTTTATTTTTTTATTTAATACATAACTAACATATATAACTAGACTAGACCTTTAACATCAGAGCAGACATATATTTTTTATTGATGAAAGATAAAACTCTTTTCACAGGTGTGTGATGTAGAGTTCTTACGTGTATGACTTCTGGATCGTCACAGTGTTAGTGAGGATCTGGAAGTACTACTGCAAAACATAAATTTTAATTCAGATGGTAGTTATAAACAATATAACAACCTTGTTTTTTTTTTATACAACTATATTTTTTTATACAGATGGAAAGTACGTACCTAATAGGGTGTATTGCTAGCAATGGGTCGATTAGACCCCATTACTAACAAGCCCTTTCCCCCCTAAATGGAGGCACTGTTGTCTACCCCGCAGCAACACGGAGTCGATCCGTGACGTGCAGTTCAGTCCGCACCAGGCGCACACGTTCGCGGCCGTGTCGGAGAACGGCAACGTGCAGCTGTGGGACGTGCGCCGCCACGAGCGCTGCCTGCAGCAGTTCACGGCGCACTCGGGGCCCGTGTTCGCGTGCGACTGGCACCCTGACACGCCCTGGCTCGCCACCGCCTCCAGGGACAAAACCATCAAGGTGCCCACCACTTTCAGTACCTTGCATATTCTTTTAATATTTTATTACTAGCGGCCCGTCCCGGCGTCGCACGGGTGGACATTTGTACATTTTAAAAAGTGGCAATTGAGGCTGCACTGCTCTGCTCCTATTGGTCGTAGCGTGATGAAAAATATACTATAACCGGTCCAGGAGTATGAAGAATAATTGTACCAAGTTTCGTTAAAATCCGTCGAGTATTTTTGTTTCTATAACGAACATACAGACAGACAGACAAAAATTTTACTGATTGCATTTTTGGCATCAGTATCGATCACTAATCACCCGCTGATAGTTATTTTGGAAATATATTTCATGTACAGAATTGTCCTCTCTACAGATTTATTATAAGTATAGAAGATTATTATTTCAGCTGTTAATGGTTCCCTATTGGACATAAGCATTCCCCTTGGGGGATTTTGCTGGTATTATATTGGCAATCGCAGTTAGGCTTTAGAGATGTTTTAAGAGAAACACTACTGCCCATCCCTCGCCCTCCCTTAGTCAACTCTAATGACACCCACAGGAAAGGAAGAGATAGCTCATTCTATGCTGAGGCACATACGACGATTAATATAGTGTAAATATATATATATATATATATATATATATATATATATATATATATATATATATATATATATATATATATATATATATATATATATATATATATATATATATATATATATATATATATATATATAACAGACAATAGACACTCAGACACTAGTGTCTGAGTGTCCAGTGTCTGAGTGTCTAGTGTCCGAGTGTCTAGTGTCTGAGTGTCTAGTGTCCGAGTGTCTAGTGTCCGAGTATCTAGGGTCTGAGTGTCTAGTGTCCGAGTGTCCAGTGTCCCAGTGTCCGAGTGTCTAGTGTCTGAGTGTCTAGTGTCCAAGTGTCTAGTTTCAGAGTGTCCAGTGTCTGTGTGTCTAGTGTCCGAGTGTCTAGTGTCTGAGTGTCTAGTGTCCGAGTGTCCAGTGTCCAGTGTCCGAGTGTCTAGTGTCTGAGTGTCCAGTGTCTGAGTGTCTAGTGTCTGAATGTTTAGTGTCTGAGTATCTAGTGTCTGTGTGTCTGAGTGTCTAGAGTATAGTGTCCGAGCGTCTAGTGTCCGAGTGTCCAGTGTCTGAGTGTCTAGTGTCTGAGTGTCTAGTGTCCGAATGTCTAGTGTCTGAAGTGTCTAGTGTCCGAGTGTCTAGTGTCTGAGTGTCTGAGTGTCTAGTGTCAGTGTCTAGTGTCCGAGTGTCTAGAGACTGTGTGTCTGAGTGTCTAGTGTCTGAGTGTCTAGTGTCCGAGTGTCTAGTGTCCAGTGTCCAAGTGTCTAGTGTCAGAGTGTCCAGTGTCTGAGTGTCCGAGCGTCTAGTGTCTGAGTATCTAGTGTCCGAGTGTCTAGTGTCTGAGTGTTTAGTGTCCAAGTGTCTAGTTTCAGAGTGTCCAGTGTCTGAGTGTCCGAGTGTCTAGTGTCTGAGTGTCTAGTGTCCGAGTGTCTAGTGTCTGAGTGTCTAGTGTCCGAGTGTCTAGTGTCTGTGTGTCTGAGTGTCCAGTGTCTGAGTGTCTAGTGTCTGAGTGTCTAGTGTCCAAGTGTCTAGTGTCTGAGTGTCCAGTGTCTGAGTGTCTAGTGTCTGAATGTTTAGTGTCTGAGTATCTAGTGTCTGTACACTGTACTGTAGTACTGGACACTCAGACACACAGACACTAGACACTCCGACACTAGACACTCGGACACTAGACACTCGGACACTCAGACACTGGACACTCTGACACTAGACACTAGACACTCGGACACTAGACACTAGACACTCGGACACTAGACACTCGGACACTCAGACACTGGACACTCTGACACTAGACACTTGGACACTAGACACTCAGACACTAGACACTCAGACACTGGACACTCAGACATTAGACACTCGGACACTAGACACTCGGACACTCAGATACTGGACACTCTGAAACTAGACACTTGGACACTAGACACTCGGACACTAGACACTCAGACACTAGACACTCGGACTCTAGACACTCAGACACTGGACACTCAGACACTAGACACTCGGACACTGGACACTCGGACACTGGACACTCAGACACACAGACACTAGACACTCGGACACTCAGACACTGGACACTCTGACACTAGACACTTGGACACTAGACACTAGACACTCGGACACTAGACACTCGGACACTAGACACTCAGACACTAGACACTCGGACACTCAGACACTGGACACTCTGACACTAGACACTAGACACTCGGACACTAGACACTCGGACACTCAGACACTGGACACTCTGACACTAGACACTTGGACACTAGACACTCAGACACTAGACACTCAGACACTGGACACTCAGACACACAGACACTAGACACTCGGACACTAGACACTCAGACACTAGACACTCGGACACTCAGACACTGGACACTCTGAAACTAGACACTTGGACACTAGACACTTGGACACTAGACACTCGGACACTAGACACTCAGACACTAGACACTCGGACACTCAGACACTGGACACTCTGACACTAGACACTTGGACACTAGACACTAGACACTCGGACACTAGACACTCAGACACTCAGACACTAGACACTCAGACACTGGACACTCAGACACACAGACACTAGACACTCGGACACTAGACACTCAGACACTAGACACTCAGACGCACAGACACTGGACACTCTGAAACTAGACACTTGGACACTAGACACTCGGACACTGGACACTCAGACACTAGACACTCGGACACTCAGACACTGGACACTCTGACACTAGACACTTGGACACTAGACACTCAGACACTAGACACTCAGACACTGGACACTCAGACACACAGACACTAGACACTCGGACACTAGACACTCAGACACTAGACACTCGGACACTCAGACACTGGACACTCTGACACTAGACACTTGGACACTAGACACTCAGACACTAGACACCCGGACACTAGACACTCAGACACACAGACACTCGGACACTAGACACTCGGACACTCAGACACTAGACACTCAGACACTGGACACTCAGACACACAGACACTGGACACTCTGAAACTAGACACTTGGACACTAGACACTCAGACACTAGACACTCGGACACTAGACACTCGGACACTAGACACTCAGACACTAGACACTCAGACACACAGACACTGGACACTCTGAAACTAGACACTTGGACACTATACACTCGGACACTGGACACTCAGACACTAGACACTCGGACACTAGACACTCAGACACACAGACACTGGACACTCTGAAACTAGACACTTGGACACTAGACACTCAGACACTAGACACTCGGACACTAGACACTCAGACACTAGACACTCGGACACTCAGACACTGGACACTCAGACACACAGACACTAGACACTCGGACACTAGACACTCAGACACTAGACACTCGGACACTCAGACACTGGACACTCTGACACTAGACACTTGGACACTAGACACTCAGACACTAGACACTCAGACACTGGACACTCAGACACACAGACACTAGACACTCGGACACTAGACACTCAGACACTAGACACTCGGACACTCAGACACTGGACACTCAGACACTAGACACTTGGACACTAGACACTCGGACACTAGACACTCGGACACTAGACACTCGGACAATAGACACTCGGACACTAGACACTCGGACACTCTGACACTAGACACTTGGACACTAGACACTCGGACACTAGACACTCAGACACTGGACACTCAGACACACAGACACTAGACACTCGGACACTAGACACTCAGACGCTAGACACTCAGACACTCAGACACTGGACACTCTGACACTAGACACTTGGACACTAGACACTCAGACACTAGACACCCGGACACTAGACACTCAGACACACAGACACTCGGACACTAGACACTCGGACACTCAGACACTAGACACTCAGACACTGGACACTCAGACACACAGACACTGGACACTCTGAAACTAGACACTTGGACACTAGACACTCAGACACTAGACACTCGGACACTAGACACTCGGACACTAGACACTCAGACACTAGACACTCAGACACACAGACACTGGACACTCTGAAACTAGACACTTGGACACTATACACTCGGACACTGGACACTCAGACACTAGACACTCGGACACTAGACACTCAGACACACAGACACTGGACACTCTGAAACTAGACACTTGGACACTAGACACTCAGACACTAGACACCCGGACACTAGACACTCAGACACACAGACACTCGGACACTAGACACTCGGACACTCAGACACTAGACACTCAGACACTGGACACTCAGACACACAGACACTGGACACTCTGAAACTAGACACTTGGACACTAGACACTCAGACACTAGACACTCGGACACTAGACACTCGGACACTAGACACTCAGACACTAGACACTCAGACACACAGACACTGGACACTCTGAAACTAGACACTTGGACACTATACACTCGGACACTGGACACTCAGACACTAGACACTCGGACACTAGACACTCAGACACACAGACACTGGACACTCTGAAACTAGACACTTGGACACTAGACACTCAGACACTAGACACTCGGACACTAGACACTCAGACACTAGACACTCGGACACTCAGACACTGGACACTCAGACACACAGACACTAGACACTCGGACACTAGACACTCAGACACTAGACACTCGGACACTCAGACACTGGACACTCTGACACTAGACACTTGGACACTAGACACTCAGACACTAGACACTCAGACACTGGACACTCAGACACACAGACACTAGACACTCGGACACTAGACACTCAGACACTAGACACTCGGACACTCAGACACTGGACACTCAGACACTAGACACTTGGACACTAGACACTCGGACACTAGACACTCGGACACTAGACACTCGGACACTAGACACTCGGACACTAGACACTCGGACACTCTGACACTAGACACTTGGACACTA